AACATTGAAATTCAAGTGTTTTTTGAGCTTAAGTCCCCCCCTTACAATGCAGAGAGGAGCAGCAGTTGGAAGAGTAGCTGTAAAGGTTAAAATCTGTCCCGTTTAGTCTGTACTTTTGAAAAAAAAAAAACAATCTTCAAAGCTTTTGCCGCCTTTGTTCTCACACTAAATGATTTAATATCTCCTTTCACTTTGTCCTGGTGACTCCTCTGCATGGCCTACTATCAACCCTGGCTCCAAACCTGTCTCTGCTTTTGTCGTACGAGCCGTGGGGATGTCAGGATATAGAATACAGATGTGACTTTAAAACGCCCACTAGACTAAATGACCGTGGAATATTAAATACAGAACCATTCTTTAAAATCCCAAAGTTTAGGAAGATTCTGAAAACAAACGCCAAGTTGGGCGTCTGAGCAATCCAAATATAAAGCCTTTCTTGTGCCTTTTTAAACTCTTATCAATCTGGTAATGGTAAAAGACCCTTCTATGTGCAGTTTGCATGTTCTCCCCGTGTCTATGCAGGTTTCCTCCGGGTAAAAACATGCCGAACAGGTCTAGTATGCGCCTCCTGTACCTCTCCTGTCCCATCTCTGTGTGGAGTTGGAGACAAACGCTCACAACAATTGTATAACGGTTTGTGACGCTGGTCTATGAATAAAAATACTTACTACTTACTTTTAGAAAACTGATTTTTAAAAGGGGCGACAGTAGCTCAGTTGGTAGAGCATTGGCCTTTGAGCCTGAAGGTCGTGGGTTTGAGCCCACCACAAGACCTACTTCACGACTCCCACTGATTACTGCTGTTGTTGTGTCCTTGGGCAAGACACTTAACCCCACTTTGCCTGAAGCTCCCACCGAAAGATCTCAGCTCCTGTGGACTCAGCACCTGCAGGAGGATCAGTGAGGGGCTGGTGCTCTGTGACTGGGTGCAGCTCTGACTGCCACCCCCCCGACCCAGAAATGGATTAAGGGGAAGAAAATGGATGGATTTTTAAAAGTGCTACAACTTCGTTCTTGTGAAAATCCTTTTAGAGAAATCCTGCGCTAATATCAGAAAAGAAGGGGAGGCCCTGATCCCAGCAGGTCTCAGGAGCGGAGTGAGGCAGGACCTGGTCTGTGCATTAGGGTGGCTGTAACTGGGTTTGATTCCTTATGGCCCTTTTCCGTGTGGAGTAATGAATAATCCTGTATAAGCATAGAATGGGCTCCTCTGGACCCGAGACACAGCTGTAACTAATATTCTAATATCTATCTTGGTTAAATAAAGGCAAATATATATTACTTCGCTGTCTATGATTATGCAATATTTGTGGTTAATTTTGGCTCATAATGTTTCCTTATGTCTTATGGAGAATTCTCTGGTCCATTGTTGGCTTAATCTTGACATCCCTACCTTTTTTACTGAACGGAAATGGTTTAACCCGGTGTTGTCGTCCCACACAGAGCTGCCAGTCTGCGCGGGACTGTGACATTGTAGTTGTGACTGACACCTTCACAGACAAAGCACACACAGGGGTCTCGCATGATGTAAGTAGGACTAACTGGAAAAGCCAAATTCAGACCAAAACATACTAAGATTGTGCCTTTGCTGTTTATCCAGACATCCAAACAATCTCATTTTATATTTAATCATGCAATGTTTGAATGTGAAGTGAGTGGACCATGTTTACCACTTTTATCACCAATGCTATAACTTGTAGCTGTGGTTGCTGGATTTCTAGTGCTGGTCCCGGCAAAGCTCTCGATTAATCTACGTTCCCACCCTCATCAACGCCACAGAGCTTTAGGTTTAGTTTAGTTTATTAATTGTCACATACACATTACATGCAGTTAAGTTCGTATGCATCTCCAGCAGAAAAATAATTACACAGAAACAGAGCAGCTACAGAGTTAGGCCTGGTTTAGCAGTCTTATGGCTTCAGAAAAGTCCTTCTCAAGTAAGGAGTTGGTAATGGTCGTGGAACTCTGAGTAGAGCCGCTGCATGGTGGTTCGGGCATCAGTTTCAGAGTCCAGGGAGAAGACCCAGGACTGGTTGGAAGGACTATGGCCTGGGAACGCCTCAGGATTCCCCTAATTAGATGGAGGAAGTCTGGGTGTCTTATCTGCTGCCCTTGCAACCCGAGAAAGGATAAATCAGAAGAAAATGGGTGGGCAGCTCAAGGTTGAAGGGAAGTTTCAGACATTTTTAAAGAACATACTTAGATAATGAAAAAACATTTTGGCTCTGTGAACTGGGTCTTGTTCGTGGTTTCTGAGTGAGTGTGTGTTGTGTCCAGCAGGTGGCAGAAGAGGACTCGTACTGTAAGTCTCTGGTGAAGAGGAGACAGAGGCAGATGGGGCTGCCCTCTCTGCCTCCCTCACACCCACTGTTCGCTGAGGTGCTCCCTGACATCAGTATGTACCCTTTTCCCTTTGTACACATACATACACACAGAGACACACACACACAAATTGAGCGTAGTCTCTTTTCTGTCTGAAAGAGTTGATCTAAACATGTGACATTTTTCTTCCCAACTCTTCTCATTTTTTGTGTAGCTCCACAACATACACCCCACACATGTTTTCATAGTCAAAGTGATTCTGACTGAATAATATAATTTCATATATAACTGTTTGATGTGTGTTTGTAGATTTGCCTCGGAAAACAAACGAGCAGTGGGCTGTGCCGCTGGCCGAGCTTTGGCAGTACCGACCCGAAAACCAAACCGCAGAGAGAGAGTTCAACCAGAGGATGAGCCAGCAGCCGCCGCACTGCTCTGTGTGTCTGCTCTTCTACACACACCACCAGGTACCAGCAGGGGGCAGCACACATACAGGATACCAGGGAACCAGCAGGGGGCGCATACACGGGACACCAGGGAACCAGCAGGGGGCGCATACACGGGACACCAGGGAACCAGCAGGGGGCGCATACACGGGACACCAGGGAACCAGCAGGGGGCGCATACACGGGACACCAGGTACCAGCAGGGGGCAGCACATACAGGACACCAGGTACCAGCAGGGGACAGCACATACACAGGACACCAGGTACCAGCAGGGGGCAGCACATACAGGACACCAGGTACCAGCAGGGGGCAGCACACACAGGACACCAGGTACCAGCAGGGGGCAGCACACATACAGGACACCAGGTACCAGCAGGGGGCAGCACATACAGGACACCAGGTACCAGCAGGGGGCAGCACACATACAGGACACCAGGTACCAGCAGGGGGTAGCACACACAGGAAGCCAGGTACCAGCAGGGGGCAGCACACATACAGGATACCAGGGAACCAGCAGGGGGTAGCACACACAGGAAGCCAGGTACCAGCAGGGGGCAGCACACATACAGGATACCAGGGAACCAGCAGGGGGCGCACACATACAGGATACCAGGGAACCAGCAGGGGGCGCACACACAGGATACACTCTCCCTGCATTAATCAGCGCTAACATGGAGAGATATGGATGTGTTATATTACTGCAGACTTCACTGGGACTCCTGCTGCCTACGTTACCTCCACGCCCAAGTCGAGTTTAGAATCAGAATCAATTTATTGCCATTTGCAGAAAAAACTACATTGGAATACAAACAGGAGACACCGGGGGCACCAACACCACCACAAAGCACACACACACAGACAAAAGAATAAAAATATTGAGAGAATACACAGTGAGGCACATATAAAACTCTTCAAAGCATGATTAAGAAACTACAAAGAGAAGCAGATATCAGGGCGCTCAGTTCAGTCTTAAAACCGTCTGAGGGAAGAAAAACTGTCTGAAGGTACGGGGATATTACTTTAAAGATATCATTCTGCCCAGTGTTAATAGAGTAGAATCATACTGTGCAGAATTATAACTTTGAAGGGACAGGGATTTTACTGTAGACGGTTTTTAAACTTGTTATTATTCTCTGACAAAGCTCTGGACTTCCGACTTGGAGACATTGTGTGAAAGTCGTTTTGAGCTTAAACCTTTAGAATCTGTGTTTGTGTCCTCAGGCGGAGTGCGACGGAGACCTGTCGTTAGTGACTCGTGGGAACTGCCAATGGTCCAAACCCCTGATCCCCGAGATGTGCTTCAACACACAGTCCTCTAAAGGCGGCGACGGCACCGAGGGCCAGCTCTCCAACCCCTACATCGCGGAGGACGGGACCAGCCGCCTCGTCACCTGCAAGCGCTGCTGCGTCCGCGTCCACACCAGTGAGTGCCCACGATGGTGCAGACAGATATCAAATGTACTCTTGTATGCCTTACCGGTGTTGCGCGTGGTGGAAATGGGGCCAAGAAGTATTTAAGCATTTTTCTCAAGGCTGCTTTAAAGGAGTAGCTCTCTGCCTTTATCATCCCAAGAAAGTAGCTCTCTGGGTGAATAAGGTTGGAGACACCTGAGATCAGATATTTCTTTATTCGTCTCAGTGGAGAAATTTCAGTGTCATCGTCGCGCACACTTTTATTTATTGCACTTGGCTCAGAAGTATTTACAGATGCGTATATTGTACTTTATCTGTTTGTTATTACTGATGTATTCTCTGCTGCTAAAGTGACTAGTGAATGGCAGAAGTATCAGATGGATATGCAGTAATAATATCAACAGGTAAAGTGACAGAAGAGATGACGTACTTTTTTGAATGCATATTTTGCTTCTTCTGATGATATGTCAATAGATGGATAATGTTAATATTAAAACTACTGATATAGTGATTAGTGATTTTTTATATTTTTTATTTTGTATAGATACCAAGTCTATTTTAAACTGCAACAAATAAAATCACCTTGATAGTTTCCACAGAATTGAACTTGGTTAAATGTTTGGTGGTGGACACTTTGGACATGTTATCCCAACAAATGATTTCCTTGTGTTCAGGCTGTTACGGAGTCTCAGAGGACGATGAGGACTTGGGAGACTGGCAGTGCTCTCGCTGCAAGGACAAAGCCATGGCCCAGGTAACTACACACTCCTGTGAAGAAGTGTGGCTCTGACATGTTTCATTTCAAATTCAATCCATTTACATTTGTTCTGCCCAAAATCACAGCAGCAGTCACCTCGAAAGACTCCAAACATTTTTGATTTGATAATTTACATCTGAGGTTTATGTACCTGTGACTCTTGTTGTGACTAATGCCTTTGTTTAATATGAGGGACATGAATCGCAAAATATCGCAGAATCAAATCACAATATGGTCTGTATATGTCTTGTGTGCCGGAGTCTTGTGTGCCGGAGTCTTGTGTGCCGGAGTCTTGTGTGCCGGAGTCTTGTGTGCCGGAGTCTTGTGTGCCGGAGTCTTGTGTGCCGGAGTCTTGTGTGCCGGAGTCTTGTGTGCCGGAGTCTTGTGTGCCGGAGTCTTGTGTGCCGGAGTCTTGTGTGCCGGAGTCTTGTGTGCCGGAGTCTGACTCTCTAGCCCGGACCCTCTGCCTCTTTTGCCCGGACCCTCTGCCTCTTTTGCCCGGACCATCTGCCTCTTTTCAGATTCAGATTCATTTATTTGCCATTTGCAGTAAAACCACATAGGAAAAACTGCAAGACTAGCCCAGTGTGCACCAGACGACACACACCAGAGCTCTTGCCACGGACCCTCTGCCTCTTTTGCCCGGACCCTCTGCCTCTTTTGTCTCTACCCGCTGATGATGCAGGTGCACGATCCAAGCCTGCACCACATTCTTCACATTTTTCACCTCTGCCCATTGTTCCGTGCAGAGGAACGCTCTCAAAGTGGAAGAAACTTGAGATTTACGTTTGACAGTCAAGGTGGAGGAAAAAACACAGCAACTAAACAATACCAGTGGGAAGCAGCCTCTCCAGCCCTCGATAACCCTCTGCTGTGGTCCTTCTGACAGGCACCGATACAAATGACCCTTTTCCTCTGTTTGGAACAAAAGGAATCAAAAAGTCAATGCTGAAATTTAGAATATGATGAATACAGACTTCCTTTGCACAGTGTGGTAGGAAACAAGCCATACTATGTAATAATGGGCAAGTTTTAGGAAATGGTTACAACATGATTTCCTCGTAAACAAAAAAGCAGTTCCGCGCAAAACAAGATGAAGGTCTGGCTCAAACTAAAAACACTTTGATGAATCTTCTGACCATAGATGTACGCACTTCAGACACAACATGCCGTCTACTAAGCATGATATATTTTTAATACTTGTCAGAAAGATAAATGTGAGTCACTCTTTTTGTTGTCGTGGCTGTTGAAAAAGATTAAAACTCACAAAGACATACGTTACTATAATACAAGGAAACAAATACAAAGTCTGTCTTGGAGTCTGTCTTTGCCGCCGGAGTCGGTCTTTGCCGCCGGAGTCGGTCTTTGCCGCCGGAGTCAATCTTTTCCCCGCCGGAGTCGGTCGTTTCCCCGCCGGAGTCGGTCGTTTCCCCGCCGGAGTCGGTCGTTTCCCCGCCGGAGTCGGTCGTTTCCCCGCCGGAGTCGGTCGTTTCCCCGCCGGAGTCGGTCGTTTCCCCGCCGGAGTCGGTCGTTTCCCCGCCGGAGTCGGTCGTTTCCCCCCGCCGGAGTCGGTCGTTTCCCCGCCGGAGTCGGTCGTTTCCCCGCCGGAGTCGGTCGTTTCCCCGCCGGAGTCGGTCGTTTCCCCGCCGGAGTCGGTCGTTTCCCCGCCGGAGTCGGTCTTTTCCCCGCCGGAGTCGGTCTTTTCCCCGCCGGAGTCTGTCTTTTCCCCGCCGGACTTTCTTGCTTTTTGCCCGGGTCTCTGCCCGCTGGAATAGGACCCTCTTTTAACTAAAAATATACAGTAAATGGCAGCAGTAGTTTGCAGTCTAGCCTTGACTATAATTTAGGGCTGGGCGATTAATCGATTTTAATCATTAATTCGAGTTTTACGTTTAGGGCGATTTCTTTTTTTTAAAATTCGATTTTTATTTTCTCCAGCGCAGAACTACAGCGCTAACGCGCTAACCGCGGGTCTATGGTGTTGAGCAGTCATTTTGAAGATAACCTAATGCTAACAGTCTCCCTCTGGCCTGATGCTCGCTCTCACAGTTGGTGCTGTTGCAATAACACTTCAAACGTTCAAGAATCAGACTTTATTTAATCGCCAAAACACACACACACAGGCTCCGGTCGTACGCCACATCTTTCACGCTCTCTCACGCTCGTTATTCCAAAGCGCACTCCCGTGTCCGTGGCGCGCACACACTCGTGTCCCACTGAGCCGCTGCACTTTGTGGAAAGACACGTCTCACACATTGTTCTCATTGCTCTGATACAAACAACGTGTTCCCCGCTGTCTGTTAGCTACAGTAGCTGCTACAGTAGCTGTTAGCTACAGTAGCTGCTACAGTAGCTGCTACAGTAGCTGTTAGCTACAGTAGCTGCTACAGTAGCTGCTACAGTAGCTGTTAGCTACAGTAGCTGCTACAGTAGCTGCTACAGTAGCTGTTAGCTACAGTAGCTGCTACAGTAGCTGCTACAGTAGCTGTTAGCTACAGTAGCTGCTACAGTAGCTGTTAGCTACAGCATCAGAATGTAAACAGGAAGCTCGCACAATGCGGGAGTCACTGAAGTTAGTATTAGCGCCACCAGCTGGACCGAGCGTTGTACTACAGCACAGTTACTCAGGCACAGTTGAAAGAACAAGCATGAAAACCCGAGGAGGCTTTTGGAAAAGACTGTCTGTTACAACATTTCTATTTTGAGTAATCAGTGCATGTGTGTGCAATGCATGTGTTTAATAGGATTGATATATTTGCGATGGGCCTTGTTTGTGTGATTTAAGTTATTTTGAAGGTGCATAGTGTCATTGTAAGTGAAGTTATTATAAAACTGTTAAGCTACATTTTCACTGTTTACAATGGCAGAGCCATCTCGTTTACAAGCAGGTTTTAAGGCTTAATTCCTGTTACACTTATGCTCCATGGGGATTTAGATTAAACTGCATAAAGGAAAATCTATTTCTTTGTCAGTTGTAGTTTGTTTTTAAATAGAAAAAAAATAAATCGATTAAAATCGAAAATCGGATTTGGTGTGAAAAAATCAGAGATTTTTTTTTTTTGCCATATCGCCCAGCCCTACTATAATTATTGTCATAGGGAAACAAATAGAAAGGAGTCTTTGCCGCCGCCAGTGTCTTTCTTGCGTTTTGCCGGGGTCTCTAATGCCCAGGACCATAAATAGAAAGGACAGAATATAAAAAAAAGCACACTCTTAATCCACGTTAAAGTGACTGAAGACGGCTGTTTTCTCTTGGTTCAGTGTCTGGAGCGAGCTCAGGTACAGCTCTGTCTGATGTCGGGCCAAAACTGCTGAGACCGAGTTTTATTGTCTTTTCTCTCTGCGCTCGACTGGAGCTGCTGCACACTGTACCCACTCCCTCTGACAGCTGCCAGACCAGGTGTCAGCGTAAGTAAGGAAAAGAGAGCCCGGAGGAAACGTGTATTTAGACAGGTGTGCAGAGCGAGTCGAACCCAAGAAGCTGGTTAGAAATGTTCAAATTCAATGTTTTTATGTGTCTCCTGTAGGACTGCTGTCTGTGTTCGCTGAGAGGAGGAGCACTGCAAAGGGCCAACAATGACAAGTAAGTTTCCACCGGCAACAAACGACTTCTTCAGTAGTTTTTAAAGTAGATTTTCTCCTAAGGGACTTCCTGGTTAGAGAAACAAAATAAAAAAGTCACTTTAAGTCACTTGCACTAGGCCTAAAAAACCTGCACTACTATTGCCACTGTTTTTTTAATTGTCACTTTTTGATTGATTCTATCCATGCCAAATGTGACATGTACATTTCTCCAGTGTGAGATCAATAAAGTCTATCTTATCTTAAAACGCAAAATGATGAATGAGGACATAACCCGATTCTGGTCTCGATTATATCAAGTGCGATGAGGTATTGTACTTTAGGCTTAGATGGATCGGGTCAAGTAATATTTACTGTATATAGCACATTTTAAAAACAGACATGACTCCTGGAAAGTGCTTCCCAGACAAATAATTTTGCACACAAATTAATATACAGCGTAAATTAAAATAGTGGTCTGCAATTATTTCAGCTTGAGTAGAGCTGTATGGGATTTAAAGCTCTCGAGAGACGGGGCAGGGGACACGATAAGGAGCAGCGTTCCTGAGTCTAGGCCCTGCCACAGCTAAGGCTCGGTCTCCTCTGGTCTTTAGTCTAGACCTGGGACAGTGTAGAAGAAGCTGGTCAGAGGACTCTTTGATCTGCATGTAGTGTTGCTCACTTACTTTGTAGTGTTCAAAGTAAGTGAGCAACTGAGTGCGATACAATGGAGCCAGGTTGTGCAATTATTTCAATACAAACAATAACACTTTGGATTGACATCAAAAAGCAACCGGAAAACAATGAAGAGTTGAGATTAGATAATTTTTTGCCATTTGTAGGAAAATCACCCGCTGTGCAAGGCTACCCCGGTACACAGTGCACTCATAGACTGTAATTTCGGTTTAGGGTAATGCTGTGGTGTCTGTGTAAAACCTGTGAACCTGTCCCAAGACACATTTTTCATATGGGAGACAATAATGGAGTATTTTATATTATTCAATGATCATCTACTGCCACTCTGGCTCAAAAGTGGCCAAAATAACGTGTGCTGACATGCTGCAATACCACCCCGGGCCTGTAGGGGTGGACCCAGAATGAGAATTAGCCAATGCTAACATATAGCATTAGTTGACCTCTCGAAAACGTCTTCACAGGATGGTCCAAAAGTTGGCTCTTGGCCCAAAGCTCCGTTCCACATGTGTGTCAATGCTGAGGGGGGTGGATTTCTTTGGACCAGTCTAGTTTAGTCGCTGTGAATTTTTGAAGTCACTCGTTTAAATGAATGGGGCTCGTGCCGGCTGACGCATGCGCAGATGCGTTTTTTCACATCTTCCAGCGCCCGCGGCCATTTTCAAACTGCCCATAGACCGCGGAAGTTGTGGCACATTATTTAGAACGGCGGAGATACAGTAGGTGTGACTACGTTCGTTAATATTTACAGTCTATTTTCTGGTTCTTTTGCAAATGTATAGATTGAGCTAAAATAAGATTAAAATAAAAGTTGTCGTTCCTCAAGTCTCCTTGCGAAAGTCTGAGTCTGAGGGCTGAGGTATTCCCACTGATGCCTGCTGTTGTCGTGTCCTTGGGCAAGACACTTAACCCCACTTTGCCTGAAGCCCCCGCTGTTAGATCAAGGCTAAGCTGTAACAGACAGCAGGCAGAAATGGATTAAGGGGAAGAAAGTGGATGGATGGAAGTCTCGTGTTGCTTCTCCAGAGACTACAAAACCATCAATCCCAGTTTAGGTCTGAGTCTTGGGGCTTAAGTCTGTCTCGTGACTCCACATCTATTGGCCAATCTAAAAATACAAATCCCTGTGGTTGGAATACACTACACATAGAGAAGATAAGATAGACTTTATTGATCTCACACAGGAGAAATGTACATGTCCATCTGGCCTGGATAGAATCACTCAAGATTTGTGCAAAAGAAAGAAACACGCTAAAGGCAAAAAAGACATGATGTGAAAGGCCACTTGGAAAGACTCATGAACTGCTTAGAGAAAGGGATCTTCCTGCTCAGACCTCCCTGCGGTTCATTGAGCCGGTGAATAATCGTCGATCCGCCACTTTCTCTGGTCTTTTTAAAGGTGACGCCTGCAGCTAAACGCTCGGCTCAGGCCATTAGTCCGCGGCCGTGCTCTCTCTGCTGCGTTGATGCATGCACCACACAGGAAGGGCCTGCAGCTGGACATTAGTCATTACCCATGCATTTCTTTGTCAAAACTAAACAGAATAGTTGTTACAGTCGGAAGCTGGTTCAGATCAAAGGTTGACTACAAAACCCCATACGTGAGCTTGTTTTGTTTATTTTTTTGCTTACAATTAAAAATCATATGTACTTATGTTTAAAATGGCTACCTTGTATGGCTTTTTCACTGTAATTTCTGGACTATAAGCCTGTTTTTCTAGCTCTTTGACCCTGCGGTTTATACAGCGATGCGGCTAATATGTGTATTTTTTATTGTGGTGGAGTTGCGCTGTTGTCAGAGCAAAGTTTACTTGTGATTGTAAAGTTTTAGCAGCTACAGGACACTTGTTTATTGTCAAAATAAATGAAGGTGAATGAGTGATGGAAGCTAACGGTGAAAGATAATAAATCTCGTTACTAAATCATGTGTCCAGTTTAAACAGTCGTCTCCCTGCTACATTACAACATGAAAACCTGCAGCTTATATTCAGGTGCGGCCTATATGTGGACAGAATTTACTTACTTTTAAATTATTGCTGGTGTGACCTGTCTGAAGGTGTGCCTTATAGCCCCGGAAGTACTGTAAAAGGACTTCTGAACAATATTTTTATTGCGTTTAATCTTTTTTTTATTTTAGCTTAATGTTATTTCTCACATATTTTTTCAACATTCAGAAATTCACCTCCTACAATCATTTGTTCATACTTATCCACAGATTTCCTACGTAAGTCTATAATACCTTCTAAAACCTAGTTTGTCAAGATTAATCGTCTAATGACCATAAAGGAGGATTTTCCAAAATTTTAGGAAAGAACTGCTCTCCACTTTTTGACCAAAACACTCTGGTCTTTTTGGACGAGCACGTGTCACCAGAATGATTGACAGTTGGGAGGACCAATAGTCTTGATGATCCACCCTGTAGAAAAATCCTCATACATTGTGTACATATTCACAGATATGTACCTATATCCAGATTATTATATTTTTGCAATATTATAATATTATTATTATTCTCAGATTGTTAAATTATTGTTTTTTTTATTGTGTAATACTATGCAAGCTACTATGACGATGCAATTTCCCTTGTGGATCAATAAAGTCTAAGAGCCAAAATGAACAAAGCTAGATTCGATGCATAATGTTTTTTTTTTTTTAAAAGACAGAGTATATATGTTGGGTAACTTCATCTTACACCATGGTCTAAGTCTGTATTTCCCAACCTTTTTCATTTAAAACTTCCTCAGAACACACCACCAGCCGAAACTGATAGATACTGATGTTACTCTGCAGCCTTTACTAACAAAACAAAGTAATTGTTATATAGAATATCAGCAGTGCAAAGAAGTATTTCCAATCTTCTACTTCTTTATTTTTCCACATTACTTTGCCCAAATAAGTGATTTTGGCTCATTTCCCGAGGCACACTGAATAACACCTCAAGACACACCAACATTCCCCGGCCCACTGGTTGAAAAACACTGGTCTAAAGATACATGTATTATCGGTTCAGGGCACTCCTTCATAGTCTCTCCCCCTTGTCCCCCCTCCTGTCCCGGCCTCCACATCGGGTCCTGACTGTAGTTTGTGTGTTCGCAGGTGGGTCCATGTGCTCTGTGCCATCACTGTCCTCGAGGCGCGGTTCGTCAACATCATCCAGAGACGCCCAATCGACCTGTCCGCCATCCCGCTGTCCCGCTTCAGACTGGTACCTACGCAACTACTGCATTCACTTATAAAACCCTAACCCTCTCGCTACATCACGATTCATCTTTTGCTGTTTCTACAATTTTTGTGTGTTTTTGATCTGGTCTCTCTTTCTGGTCTTTTTCTGGTTTCTCTTTCTGGTCTCTCTCTGATCTTTCTCTCTGGTATCTCTCTTGTCTCCCTCTCTTGCTGGTTTCTCTGTCTCTTTCTCCCTGGTCTCTTTTTGTCTCTCTGTCTCTTTCTCCCTGGTGGTGGGAGGCTACCGAGGTCTTTGGTCTCTCTCTCTGTCTCTGGTCTCTCTCTGGTCTCTCTGGTCTCTTTCTAGTGTCTCTCTGGTCTCTTTCTGGTCTTGCTCTCTTTCTGTCTTTCTGGTCTTTCCCTCTAGTCCCTCTTTCTCTCTGGTCTCTCTCTAGTCTCTCTCTAGTCTCTCTCTAGTCCCTCTCTCTTTCTGGTGTCTTTCTCTCTCTCTCTCTGGTCTTCAGTCCTGCTCCTGCCCCTTAGCATCCTGCAGCTGTATTTTACAGTGTATGCACAGCTTTTGACAGCTGCAGCAGCTCTGCATCCTCTCAGCTCTGGTCTGGATCACTGCAACACCAAGAACACTAGCATTGCACTCACATTTACAGATAGAAAAATGTAAAAAGAAAAAAAAAGTTTCAGAGCGACTACTGTTATACTACTACAGGGTGATATTGTCAAAAATATGGACTTTTAGAAATTAAACACAATTAAGTGGAAAACATTATAATAACTTGTTCAAAAGGGCGGAATATCTTGATATTTTTTACTTTTTCCTGTCCCCAAACGTCTTCAGCCTCCGTGGCGCCTCGGGATTCAGCTGCGGTTTCACTTCTCGCTCGCTGTGACTCAAACCGCCGTCTGCCCGTCGCTTAAAACACGGCGACTTAGTGTTCGCACATCTGCCGTGATAAAACAGATGCAGACTCGAAACAGGAAGTAAAGTATTCAAATGGGAACTGTTCGGCCGTGAGATCAATCAACTGTTGTGGCATTAAGAAGAAAGGGTTATTTTGGAACCAACGAGAAGTGGTTAGAGCGACTAAAACAATACAAGTAAATGAGAAACTTTACATATTCATCCCATTGTGTGTGTATGAGAAGTGTTTGGGCAAAATGGTGTCACGCAATGATTTAGACCTTTATCATTCAGGCCGAGTGTCGTTTACATTTCATAAGTCTTTTGCCAAAATGCCCCAGTGAGAATTTCTGACCGTTTTTAGCTGCCAGCTTTCTATGGGATTAATCTGAATCCTTTTATCGCCATGTGAGTAACAGAAAATCACAAACTAGGACGTTGCTTTGGCTCTCGATGCAAACAAGTTAAAGCACATTTTGGTCGTGAGACTTTGAGATTGGCATTGGTTGAGCTCCATCTGACATAAGTTTCCTGATCCAGCCTTACTCCTCACTCGTGCTCTGAGGTTTGTAGAGTCTTTGGCTGGTTCCACGTTCTCTTCACGAGGAGATGGATCCTTCTGGATGTTGCTCCCATGATGCAAAGATCTTCTGCTCTCTCGCTTTACGTGTATTCGGTCTGTTTTGATTTAAAAACTTACATCACACTATCTTTTTTGGGTTGGTCTCTCCATGGCTTCTTCGTGTCGATAACAAGCTTAAGTGTCGAAATGAGCCAGGGCCAGTCAAGTTACGAAAAGTCATCAACATTCAGCTTGAAAAACATTAATATTAGGTATTTTTTAAATAACTGTTTGGTGAATTCGACCTGAAGACAGCATTTAAGTGAAAAACTTAACATTGAATTTGGGAGCTTCTAGTCAAATTACCCTGAGAAAGGAGGATTTTAATACCCAAAAGACCATACTTACTTTCTTAGTGTTTTAGAAAAGACAGAATACATCCACCTTCGCTTACATTGAAACAGAATTGTACCCATTTGTACATAGCACTGACTTAGTGCTTAAATGATTTAGGTTGGTTGTTAACATAATAATGAAAGACCCAATAATAATAACATAGAAAGGCCCAACTAGGGACTGAAGTTGAAAATTGGCAATAACTTTTTTGCATCGTATCAATTACAAGCTTGTTTTGTTCTATGTTGACTTGCAAGGTCCCTGTCACATAAATGAATACAAAAAATTGATAAAGAGTACCATTTTCAGTAACGGTTGCTTTTTTAATTTTTTTATTGTAACCATTCGTAACCGTGATATTTGTTCTGTTATTAGTTATTACCCATGTCATGCACAGAGGAACATGGATGCACTTCAGGGCCTGGTATCTGGCCCCAGTCTCTCTCCTGTGACTCCTGGTCTGTCCCTGTACAAATAAAACCTTACCATGACTCAGTTCCCTCCACAGTCTGGGGCCTGGACCACTACAGCTTCCCTAATTCCATTGTTCCCTCCTTCTCCGCTGTTGGTGGATGTGATGTCACGGCTCGCAAAAGGAAGTTCCATTCTTCCTCTCTCACATCTGGGTCACTCAAAGATTCAGTTTTTTCTTTCCGTACAGGCCCATTGTCGGCCACTGGTTGGTCTTGGTGAATGAAGTTTTGCCCACTCACTTCTGCGTATCTTTTGCCCATTCACAAAATGCCCATGGGCAAAAGATACACATCAGAAAAGTGCATAAATATATACATTGTTTTGTCAAATATCGCATTTTTAAAGTAAATGTAGTAAGATTCGGGAAGTTGTGGCTGCGTGTGTGAAGTTCAGAGCTAAATTTTGGTAGATTTATAAGAGGAGAAAAGACCCACAAACGGACATGACCGACACAGCTGCAGATGAAGACTGTTTTAGATATTTTTAGAGATATTTCCCTGCAAAACCAATGCACAAAACTACACATGTTTTTGCACTAAAATTCTTAATAGACTCATTTTTTTTTTCTCTTATTGTATAATGTTTATACAATCTTTGAAAACCAGTGACGCAACTATTTAAAGACAGACCTGTCCTTTCTTGTCCTGATCTTCTGTACATTACTTGAACAATAAAAGTTAATCAAACGTCCTCTCTCTCTGTCTCCTGCAGAAGTGCGCCTTGTGCCGGACACGGATGAGCGGCGACGCCCATGGCTGCTGCGTCCAGTGCTCTCACGGCCGCTGCTCCACCGCCTTCCACCCGACCTGCGCTCAGGCCGCCGGGATCCTCATGCACCCGGACGACTGGCCCTTCATCGTCTTCATCACCTGCCAGAGACACCGCACCCCCACGGCTCCAGAGGTGAGGCTCACAGACACAGATTGAGCTGCAGGATATGATCTATTATAACAGGTTTTAGAGGTAGGGTAAAACTTAGAAGGCACGAGGAGAACATGCAAATTCCAGTCGGAAAGGCCTGGTTTCAACTGGGATTTGGGAGTGTAGAAAGTGCAGATTATGAATGGTTTCAGTGTGTGTCTCTATCAACAGCAGGGGTCTCAAACCGGTTCAGGTGAGTCCAGTTGTAACCTGAAGATTTGAGGAAATGGGTGGAGTCATCTGTGCTCCTGCTTAGTTTGGAACTGTTGGAAGTAAAACCTGCTGCCACATGGCCCTTTCTGGAACCGGTTTGAGACCCCTGATCTACAGTAACATAACTACAGTTTGAAAAAAAGACAAAACGAATCTGGAAATTGCAATTTATTTGACTTACTCAGACTATCCCGGTAAATACTTTCATTTCTTTGTTTTTGAATATGAAGTGCTTGACTCTTTGGAGAAAAAAATCTACAATGAGTTTGGAAAATTGCTTCCACATTTTCAGTTTCACCATTATTTTTCCGGCGAACGATTCAATAAAATCTAAATGTATTTTCTCTGCTCCCTGAGTTAATGGTTTCTGGAAAGGAGACACGACAGCCGCCCACACAGAGCTCAGCCACAAATCAAAACCTGCAGCTCTCATCGCTCGCCAAAGTACACACTCGGGTCATTATCAGCTGGAAGCAGATTCAACACAAGCTACACAACAGTACACAACAGTACACAACTATACACTACAATACACATGGTCTGATTCGAGATTTTACTATAATACTTAATATATTCTTAGATTGCCCTTTTTTGCAGTTGTATAGTTTGAATAGTTCCTGTTTGGAGAGTGGCAACAGTGACAGACTGATCCACCCTCGCAGTGTGAAGGAGAGGTCCCGCAGGTCTTCCCTTCCTGCTGCTGTCAGACTGTACAACGAACGAGAACTAGCGAACACTGCTGATCTGACCTCGCATCTAATTGAACTACAGAGTTTAGACATACGCCGCACCTAAATATAAGCTTTTGTCTTTTTACATTTTGTCCCGATCGGCAAAAGGACTTGACCAGGTCAGCGTCGCACTTCCAGTTGTAAGTTCAGAAGTTTATAAAGTATTTTCATGTGTTGTAGCGTAACAAGATGGCGGAGAAGGACCTGAAGGTGGGCCAGAAGGTGATCTGCAAACACAAAAACGGCCGCTACTACCACAGCGAGGTGTCGGCCCTGACCACCGACACCTTCTACGAGGTCGTGTTCGACGACGGCTCCTACAGCGACAATCTGCTCCCAGAGGACATCATGGTGCGTTCAGGGTCTCTCTTTCTCTGTGTGCTCATGGTGTGTTCAGGGACCCCTCTCTCTCTATGTGCTGATGGTGCGTTCAGGGACCTCTCTCTCTCTCTCTCTGTCTCTGTCTCTCTGCTCATGGTGCGTTCAAGGTCTCTGCTCATGGTGCGTTCAAGGTCTCTGCTCATGGTGCGTTCATGGTCTTTCTCTGCTCATGGTGCGTCAGGGACCTCTCTGTGCTCATGGTGCATTCAGGGTCTCTCTCTGTGCTCATGGTGCGTTCAGGCTCTCTCTCTCTGTGCTCCTGTTGCGTTGAGGACCAAGCAGGAGCAGGGAGTTCAGTCTTACCCTGTAGATTTGAGGAGTCTGCTCGGTCTGGTACCTGTAGCCGCACCCGCCCTGCCTGGACCGGTTTGGAGACCCCTGGTTTTTATTCGGTTTGTTGTTCCAGGACCGGGACTGCGTAGCGATGGGACCCCCCTCTGAAGGAGAGCCGGTCCAGGTCAGATGGACGGACGGACTCTCCTACGGCGCCAAGTTCATCTCCGCTCACTCGGATCCTATGTTTATGGTACAAAACTATAAGAATCTTGGAAAGACTCCCTCTCGTCTCTCACTCTGGTCTCTCTCTGGTCTCTCTCTGATCTCTCTCTGGTCTCTCTCTCTGGTCTCTCTCTCTGGTCTCTCTCTCTGGTCTCTCTCTCTGGTCTCTCTCTCTGGTCTCTCTCTCTGGTCTATCTCTCTGTTCTCTCTCTCTGGTCTCTCTCTCTGGTCTCTCTCTAAGTCACAACAGTAGTTTAAACCGTTGATTCGCCAACACAGATTAGAGAATCAAACCATTCAACACATAAATTATAAAAAACACATAATGCCATTGGTCCATAAATGAGAAACCAGTTAGTCCTTGGCTGGTTTCTACTGGTACAGACTACCAGAGAGAGACAGACCAGAGAGAGAGACCAGAGAGAGAGACCAGAGAGAGAGACCAGAGAGAGAGAGACCAGAGAGAGAGAGACCAGAGAGAGAGACCAGAGAGAGAGAGACCAGAGAGAGACAGACCAGAGAGAGACAGACCAGAGAGAGAGACCAGAGAGAGAGACCAGAGAGAGAGAGACCAGAGAGAGAGACCAGAGAGAGAGAGACCAGAGAGAGACAGACCAGAGAGAGAGACCAGAGAGAGAGACCAGAGAGAGACAGACCAGAGAGAGACAGACCAGAGAGAGAGAGAGACCAGAGAGAGAGACCAGAGAGAGAGAGACCAGAGAGAGAGACCAGAGAGAGAGACCAGAGAGAGAGAGACCAGAGAGAGAGAGACCAGAGAGAGACAGACCAGAGAGAGACAGACCAGAGAGAGAGACCAGAGAGAGAGACCAGAGAGAGAGAGACCAGAGAGAGAGAGACCAGAGAGAGAGAGACCAGAGAGAGAGAGACCAGAGAGAGAGAGACCAGAGAGAGACAGACAGAGAGAGACAGAGACCAGAGAGAGAGAGACAGAGAGAGAGACCAGAGAGAGAGAGCCAGAGAGAGAGAGACCAGAGAGAGACAGACCAGAGAGAGAGAGACCAGAGAGAGAGACCAGAGAGAGAGAGACCAGAGAGAGAGACCAGAGAGAGACAGACCAGAGAGAGAGACCAGAGAGAGAGAGACCAGAGAGAGAGAGACCAGAGAGAGAGAGACCAGAGAGAGAGACCAGAGAGAGAGACCAGAGAGAGAGAGACCAGAGAGAGAGAGACCAGAGAGCGAGAGAGACCAGGGAGAGACAGACCAGAGAGAGAGAGACCAGAGAGAGAGACCAGAGAGAGAGACCAGAGAGAGAGAGACCAGAGAGAGAGAGACCAGAGAGAGAGACCAGAGAGAGAGACCAGAGAGAGAGAGAGACCAGAGAGAGAGAGACCAGAGAGAGAGAGACCAGAGGGAGAGAGACCAGAGAGAGAGAAACCAGAGGGAGAGACCAGGGAGAGAGAGACCAGAGAAGGACCAGAGAGAGAGAGACCAGAGAGAGACAGAGAGAGAGACCAGAGAGAGAGAGAGAGACCAGAGAGAGAGAGACCAGAGAGAGAGACCAGAGAGAGAGAGACCAGAGAGAGAGACCAGAGAGGGACCAGAGAGAGAGAGACCAGAGAGAGAGACCAGAGAGAGAGAGACCAGAGAGAGAGAGACCAGAGAGAGAGAGACCAGAGAGAGAGACCAGAGAGAGAGAGACCAGAGAGAGAGAGACCAGAGAGAGACAGACCAGAGAGAACCAGAGAGAGACCAGAGAGAGAGAGACAGAGAGAGAGACCAGAGAGAGAGACCAGAGAGAGAGAGACCAGAGAGAGAGACCAGAGAGAGAGACCAGAGAGAGAGAGACCAGAGAGAGAGAGACCAGAGAGAGAGAGACCAGAGAGAGAGAGACCAGAGAGAGAGAGACCAGAGGGAGAGAGACCAGAGAGAGAGAACCAGAGAGAGAGACCAGGGAGAGAGAGACCAGAGAGAGAGACCAGAGAAGGACCAGAGAGAGAGAGACCAGAGAGAGAGACCAGAGAGAGAGACCAGAGAGGGACCAGAGAGAGAGAGACCAGAGAGAGAGACCAGAGAGAGAGACCAGAGAGAGAGAGACCAGAGAGAGAGAGACCAGAGAGAGAGAGACCAGAGAGAGAGAGACCAGAGAGAGAGAGACCAGAGAGAGAGAGACCAGAGAGAGAGAGACCAGAGAGAGAGAGACCAGAGAGAGAGAGACCAGAGAGAGAGAGACCAGAGAGAGAGAGACCAGAGAGAGAGAGACCAGAGAGAGAGAGACCAGAGAGAGAGAGACCAGGGAGAGAGACCAGAGAGAGAGACCAGAGAGAGAGACCAGAGAGAGAGAGACCAGAGAGAGAGAGACCAGAGAGAGAGACCAGAGAGAGAGACCAGAGAGAGAGAGACCAGAGAGAGAGACCAGAGAGAGAGAGACCAGAGAGGGACCAGAGAGGGACCAGAGAGAGAGAGACCAGATAGAGAGACCAGAGAGAGAGAGACCAGAGAGGGACCAGAGAGAGACCAGAGAGAGAGACCAGAGAGGGACCAGAGAGAGAGACCAGAGAGAGAGACCAGAGAGGGACCAGAGAGAGAGACCAGAGAGAGAGACACCAGAGAGAGAGAGACCAGAGAGAGAGAGACCAGAGAGAGAGACCAGAGAGAGAGACCAGAGAGGGACCAGAGAGAGAGAGACCAGAGAGAGAGACCAGAGAGAGAGACCAGAGAGAGAGAGACCAGAGAGGGACCAGAGAGAGACCAGAGAGAGACCAGAGATCAGAGAGAGACACGAGAGAGACCAGAGAGAGAGACCAGAGAGAGAGACCAGAGAGAGAGACCAGAGAGAGACCAGAGAGAAAGAGACCAGAGAGAGAGAGACCAGAGAGGGACCAGAGAGAGACCAGAGAGAGACCAGAGATCAGAGAGAGACACGAGAGAGACCAGAGAGAGAGATCAGAGAGAGACCAGAGAGACCAGAGAGACCAGAGAGAGACCAGAGAGAGACCAGAGAGAAACAAGAGAGACCGGTGGCTGAGTGGATAGCACTCTCGCCTCTCAGCAAGAAGGTCCTGGGTTCGAATCCCGGTCGGATCAGGGCCTTTCTGAGTGGAGTTTGCATGTTCTCCCCGTGTCTGCGTAGGTTTCCTCCGGGTGCTCCGGTTTCCCCTACCACTAAAAATATGTCCAATAGTTCTGGCATGCGCCTCCTGTACTGGCCCCGCTCCCATCTCTGTGTGGAGTGAGAGACAAATGCCCAAAATTAACAATTGTAAACCGCTTTGAGACTCAGATCTGCAGTGAAAAGGCGGTATATAAATAAAAACTTACTAAAAAAACGTACTTACCAGAGAGAGAGAGAGAGAGCGAGACTAAAAAACCCGGTCCTGTCCCTTTAAACCGTGGTCTTAAACATATGCATTGAAAGCTCAGTCGTGTGTTTGACTCTGAATCTCTGCTCTCGGGGAAAAGGATAAGATTTCCCACAACATTAAGTGGCCTGGATCCAAGGGGACTCATGGAGGCACTGGTGCAGTGATCTGGACTAATTAAGCCCCTCACCCGCAGAAGGACTGAGGGTGAGGGGGTGAGGTGACTTTGAGAGGCCACTGAAGGACAGAGGCACTCATGCAATCGACAGAAGGACCTCCGCTTATGGCTGAAGAGGGACTGGAAATGAAGGACGGATACAATTATGGTATTCAATGGTGAAAGACAATTCTAAAGACAAGAGATGGACCAGAGAGAGACCAGAGAGAGACCAGAGAGAGACCAGAGAGAGACCAGAGAGAGACCAGAGAGAGACCAGAGAGAGACCAGAGAGAGACCAAAGAGAGACCAAAGAGAGACCAGAGAGAGACCAAAGAGAGACCAAAGAGAGACCAAAGAGAGACCAAAGAGAGAGAGAGAGAGAGACCAGAGAGAGACCAGAGAGAGACCAGAGAGAGACCAGAGAGAGACCAGAGAGTGACCAGAGAGAGACCAACGAGAGAGAGAGACCAGAGAGAGACCAGAGAGACCAGAGAGAGACAGAGAGAGACCAGAGAGAGACCAGAGAGAGACCAGAGAGTGACCAGAGAGAGACCAGAGAGAGAGAGAGAGAGAGAGACCAGAGAGAGACCAGAGAGAGACCAGAGAGAGACTAGAGAGAGACCAGAGAGAGACCAGAGAGTGACTAGAGAGAGACCAGAGAGAGAGAGACCAGCGAGAGAGACCAGAGAGAGACAGAGAGAGACAGAGAGAGACTAGAGAGAGACCAGAGAGAGACTAGAGAGAAACCAGAGAGAGACAGAGAGAGACCAGAGAGAGACTAGAGAGAGACCAGAGAGAGACCAGAGAGAGACTAGAGAGAAACCAAAGAGAGACCAGAGAGAGACAGAGAGAAACCAGAGAGAGACCAGAGAGAGACTAAAGAGAGACCAGAGAGAGACTAAAGAGAGAGACCAGAGAGAGACCAGAGAGAGACCAGAGAGAGACAGAGAGAGACCAGAGAGAGACCAGAGAGAGACTAGAGAGAGACCAGAGAGAGAGAGACCAGCGAGAGAGACCAGAAAGAGAGACAAGTGAGGGACAAGAGAGAGGCCAAAGAGAGAGAGAGAGAGAGACCAGAGAGAGACCAGAGAGAGACTAGAGAGAGACCAGAGAGAGACCAGAGAGAGACTAGAGAGAAACCAGAGAGAGACTAGAGAGAGACCAGAGAGAGACCAGAGAGAGACAGAGAGAAACCAGAGAGAGACCAGAGAGAGACTAAAGAGAGACCAGAGTGAGACCAGAGAGAGACCAGAGAGAGACCAGAGAGAGACTAGAGAGAGACCAGAGAGAGACCAGAGAGAGACTAGAGAGAAACCAAAGAGAGACCAGAGAGAGACAGAGAGAGACCAGAGAGAGACTAGAGAGAAACCAAAGAGAGACCAGAGAGAGACCAAAGAGAGACCAGAGAGGGACCAGAGAGAGACCAGAGAGAGAGACCAGAGAGAGACCAGAGAGAGACCAAAGAGAAACCAGAGAGAGACCAGCGAGAGAGACCAGAGAGAGACCAGAGAGACACCAGAGAGAGACCAGAGAGGGACCAGAGAGAGACCAGAGAGAGACCAGAGAGAGACCAGAGAGAGACCAGAGAGAGACCAAAGAGGGACCAGAGAGAGACCAGAGAGAGACCAGAGAGAGACCAGAGAGAGACCAGAGAGAGACCAGAGAGAGACCAAAGAGAGACCAGAGAGAGAGAGGACTGAGGTCTGACAGATAAACCACATTATAACCAGGAACCACTGTATAAATGTTACAAAGGTAGAAACCTCTGACGTCGACAAATATCGTCCTCTGACTTCCACCGTCTAAACAAGGGCAACTCACTCTGGATCCATGAGCCGTGAGTCGGGACCGGAGTGAGTTACTCCCTCCTCCTCCCGTCAGGACAACAAACGGCCACATTAAGGCGTCCAAGCAGAGAACATTATTATTGGGAGTCCTTGTGGGAGGACCATAAAAGCACCGACCCGACACTCCATCCAGGGCTGTACAGTGGATGACAACTTCACAACACACAGGAACCATATATCTGAGGCGCGAGGAGGGACCGATTTATCAGGCGCGCAACCGGGAAGAAGCAGGAATATGATTGAGGTAAATAGATGTAGTGACTGTTGTGGTTAAAGAAGCTTTACCTGATTTATTTTCTAATGAGTTCATGTAGATTTTTATTTACACACGCCTTTGATTTTATTCTGCTTTAACTTGTTTGCACCGAGCAGTGTTGTGCGTGAACGAGTTCAAAAGAACGCGTTCATTTTTTTGTGAACGTTGAACTGAACGCAATAAAAAATTGTTTAAAGAACTTGAACGTGAATTAGTTCATTTTATGTGTCATGAACGGCAGACATCACTATGAACGCTGGAATCTGTTTTCTCTTTTGGAACGCAACGAGAGAAAGTTCCTCTCTCCTGTATTCTCGCACTTTTTTCGCAGAAAACTAAAAATTCCCACGGCTTCCACCGTCTGTGAACGCACCCCGTGTTGCGGTGCAGCGCTGTGAGCTGGTGCTTTTCACATGTGCCCGAGTCGTGATGAAAACACAGGGCGAGTTAGTGACAAAGTTTACACAGTTTACATTTGACATAAAGTATAAACACACGCACTGCAGCACATTACTGTCTGTAGTTTATGAGCAGAGATGGAACGACTCCGTTTTGCTCCCATTGAAAACCATGTAAATCTGGTCTATTTTGTAGTCAAAAGGCTCTCCTCCTGTGGGTGTACAGGATATAATATATATGTTGTTGTAGAATTATAATGTTGTATACTAATGATTTCTAGTAGGTGTTTGCAAACATGTCTTTGTGCAATATTAAAGCCTGGATTTAATGGAATTCAGACAAGCACCAAGGACAAAGGCTTCTGTGATAAAAGTATCATTTTCAGGAACAGCGTGTCTCTAGCGGCCTGAGACACAAAACCAGACTGGGACCAGCGTCAGACCATGTGACGTCATCGGGGATTCTGATAAAACCGTTGGGAGGACACATTGTGGGAAGTTAGAGCACAGGGATAGAGATTTAGGCAATAGCTCCAGGAGTTCTGTATCAACATTTAATTGTAAAGAGAAATAAATGTACTTTTGGAACTCTTGAAATCTTGGCCTTATTTCTGTACCAAATTCTGAACACGTCGGTCAAATCATTTTTGACAACAATATATATATTATACTATTCATTTCACACTATATGTATTCATTTGACTATTTCACGAAAAAAGTAAAATGAACTGAACTTTGAACGTGAACTGTTCACTTTGAGCATGTAGGAACTGAACTTGAACTAGTTGAGAAAAGCTGTGAACTGGCACAACACTGGCACCGAGAGCCAAAGAAATGTCCTGGTTTGTGACTTCCTGTTACTCACATGGCAATGAAAGGATTCTGATTCTGATAAAAATGCTCATCACTACATACAAGTTTTATTATAATTTATCATTTAATTGAAAATTTGAGCTCATTGATTCAGTTGTGTATGAACTCAGTCGTAAAAAGTGCTGAGTAGAGACTTAGAGTGACGCCCGCTCTCCTCCAATCACAGAACGAGGCTGCGTCCTCTAGCCTCTACAGCGCTGCTAAACACAGTAGCATGTTAGCATAAGTGGCTATAACTCCTCTGGCTGTAACTGCAGACACAGCAAAACAGCCCAAACCACACAACAGTGAGGAACAGATATGGGGTGCCGTTTGTAAAAATTCTGTTAAAATTTTTTAGCTGAACATTTTTCTACATTTAGCTCACTTTCCTCACATTTAGCACATTTTCCTCACATTTAAGACATATCTATATCTAAATATTATATCTATATCTAAATGTTAAATGTCATATCTAAATATTATATCTATATCTAAATGTTAAATCTAAATGTTAAATCTAAATGTTAAATCTAAATGTTAAATCTAAATGTTAAATCTAAATGTTAAATCTAAATGTTAAATCTAAATCTAAATGTTATATCTATATCTAAATGTTATATCTATATCTAAATATTATATCTATATCTAAATGTTAAATGTTAATATCTAAATATTATATCTATATCTAAATGTTATATCTATATCTAAATGTTAAATCTAAATGTTAAATCTAAATGTTAAATCTAAATGTTAAATCTAAATGTTAAATCTAAATGTTAAATCTAAATGTTAAATCTAAATGTGTCGCCAAGTGTAAAGCTAAATATATAGAAACCACGCCCATTGCAGTGGCTTCAAATCCAGTGGGCCCGCCTTCCGTGCCGTGTGGTGAGAACCCTACAGGATTACACAGGAATCTCACGGGACTCCACGTGGCTTAGTTTACAGTGAATACACTCTGGCTCCAGCAAATAAGCAAGAATCTTCACAAAAATGCTAATTTTGTGCCGTGGCCAAGGACGATGGCGCCGGAGACCCAACATGCCTTGAGCCGTGACGTCGGTCCACGTGTATTCCTATGTTCAAAACACGCGGCACCGCCCCCACTCACCACACGGCACGGAAGGCGGGCCCACTGGATTTGAAGCCACTGCAGTGGGCGTGGTTTCTATATATTTAGCTTTACACTTGGCGACACATTTAGATTTAACATTTAGATTTAACATTTAGATTTAACATTTAGATTTAACATTTAGATTTAACATTTAGATTTAACATTTAGATTTAACATTTAGATTTAACATTTAGATATAGATATAACATTTAGATATAGATATAATATTTAGATATAACATTTAACATTTAGATATAGATATAATATTTAGATATAGATATAACATTTAGATATAGATATAACATTTAGATTTAACATTTAGATTTAACATTTAGATTTAACATTTAGATATAGATATAACATTTAGATATAGATATAATATTTAGATATAACATTTAACATTTAGATATAGATATAATATTTAAATATAGATATGTCTTAAATGTGAGGAAAATGTGCTAAATGTGAGGAAAGTGAGCTAAATGTAGAAAAATGTTCAGCTAAAAAATTTTAACAGAATTTTTACAAACGGCACCCCATAAACAGAAGAGAGAACTAAAGCCACAACATGATCAAAGAAGAAACCAAGCCCTGAACAGAGCTCACCAGAAGGAGCCCTACAGAGTCCAGCACCTGCACCACCAGAGGCAGCTCTGTGCTCTATTATCATACAGAAAGCACAGTTTTTCCAATGTGGTTTTATTTGCCATTTGCAGTTTTTTTTTTACTGCAAATGGCAAATAAATGAATCTGATCTGAATCTGTAAATGACAAATAAACTCTGGAATCTTAAATGCTCATGAATCTTGAATCTTGAACAGACTTTAGTGCAGCTGCGCATGCTACTGCCATGAAGAGACAAATAAACAATGAAATGCTGCTCAGACGTCAACGGACCAAGCCTGGGTCAGGTGCTGGGGACCAGGCCTGGGTCAGGTGCTGGGGACCAGGTCTGGGTCAGGTGCTGGGGACCAAGCCTGGGTCAGGTGCTGGGGACCAGGCCTGGGTCAGGTGCTGGGGACCAGGCCTGGGTCAGGTGCTGGGGACCAGGCCTGGGTCAGGTGCTGGGGACCAGGCCTGGGTCAGGTGCTGGGGACCAGGCCTGGGTCAGGTGCTGGGGACCAGGCCTGGGTCAGGTGCTGGGGACCAAGCCTGGGTCAGGTGCTGGGGACCAGGCCTGGGTCAGGTGCTGGGGACCAGGTCTGGGTCAGGTGCTGGGGACCAGGTCTGGGTCAGGTGCTGGGGACCAGGTCTGGGTCAGGTGCTGGGGACCAGGCCTGGGTCAGGTGCTGGGGACCAAGCCCGGGTCAGGTGCTGGGGACCAAGCCCGGGTCAGGTGCTGGGGACCAGGTCTGGGTCAGGTGCTGGGGACCAGGCCTGGGTCAGGTGCTGGGGACCAGGCCTGGGTCAGGTGCTGGGGACCAGGCCTGGGTCAGGTGCTGGGGACCAGGCCTGGGTCAGGTGCTGGGGACCCAGGCCCGGGTCAGGTGCTGGGGACCAAGCCCGGGTCAGGTGCTGGGGACCAGGTCTGGGTCAGGTGCTGGGGACCAGGCCTGGGTCAGGTGCTGGGGACCAGGCCTGGGTCAGGTGCTGGGGACCAGGCCTGGGTCAGGTGCTGGGGACCAGGCCCGGGTCAGGTGCTGGGGACCAAGCCCGGGTCAGGTGCTGGGGACCAGGCCTGGGTCAGGTGCTGGGGACCAGGGCACCTGACCAGTTGTGAGCTACTGGAACAAGGTGAAAGTGGGCGAGATGCGAGAACAGGGCTCTGTTTGAATACTCGAGTAACCCGGGCCAGAGAGGTTACATGCAGAGACTGTGGGCTGAGTGGATACTTAGAAACCTACAGTCACGGTGGACCCCAAAAAAGTAGTATCTCACCACAGCAGCCACCCCTCTCTCAGCCACGGCCCGGGACCTCAGTCTGCACATTTCTGGACCAAGATTTCCGAGTGCCGCACGGTCTCCTTCACCTTCAGACTCCAGCTCCTCTCTGAGCCCTTGGGATTTCTCAAGCTTTTCCACTACGGCTTTCCTTTATAAATATATCACGTCCGGTGTAAACTGTCACAGCCATTAGGATCAAAAACTGTTCTTGGACATAACTCGCGCACGTACGTTTGAAAGTCTATATAAGTACAGTATGAAGTTATGGGGATGCATGTTTTAGAATAAAATAAGGGGGTGTGGCTTCAGGGTCACGCACAGACCCCCGTATGCAGAGACGTGTCCTGGCCTAACTCCTTCCCTCCGCCCCCCTGCCCTCCGTCACCTGATGGATGCGCGGTGCCAGGTGGAGTCGGCAGCCGTGATGGATGAGGCCGCGGCGGAGGCTCCCCGAAAATCGAATGCAGCATCTATAACATTCACGGCTCGGCTCCTAAACTGTAACGTACAGTGATAGGAATGTGTTCGGCTGTTTTGGAGACGACAGTGATGGATTCAGGGGGGGGGGGGGCTAGAGGGGGAGGGGAGGGAGGGAGGCAGAGGGGGAGGGGGGGGGGGGGGGGGCTAGAGGGGGAGGAGGGAGGGAGGCAGAGGGGGAGGGGGGAGGGGTGAGGCCAGTGTGGGTTTTGACTGTGAGGACAAAAATATATTAGCATAATATTAGGACAGCATTTTCTTGTTATAGAGACCAGAGAGAGACCAGAGAGAGGCCAGAGAGAGGCCAGAGACAGACCAGAGAGAGAGACCAGAGAGAGACCAGAGAGAGACCAGAAAGAGAGACCAGAGAGAGACCAGAGAGAGGCCAGAGAGAGACCAGAGAGAGACCAGAAAGAGAGACCAGAGAGAGACCAGAGAGAGGCCAGAGAGAGACCAGAGAGAGACCAGAAAGAGAGACCAGAGAGAGACTAGAGAGAGACCAGAGAGAGACCAGAGAGAGACCAGAAAGAGAGACCAGAGAGAGGCCAGAGAGAGACCAGAGAGAGACCAGAAAGAGAGACCAGAGAGAGACCAGAAAGAGAGACCAGAAAGAGAGAACAGAGAGAGACCAGAGAGAGACCAGAGAGAGACCAGAGAGAGACCAGAGAGAGACCAGAAAGAGAGACCAGAGAGAGACCAGAAAGAGAGACCAGAGAGACCAGAGAGAGGCCAGAGAGAGACCAGAGAGAGACTAGAGAGAGACCAGAGAGAGACCAGAAAGAGAGACCAGAGAGACCAGAGAGAGACCAGAGAGAGGCCAGAGAGGGACCAGAGAGAGGCCAGAGAGAGACCAGAGAGAGACCAGAAAGAGAGACCAGAGAGAGACCAGAAAGAGAGACCAGAGAGAGACCAGAAAGAGAGACCAGAGAGAGACCAGAAAGAGAGACCAGAGAGAGATCAGAGAGAGGCCAGAGAGAGACCAGAGAGAGACCATGAGACTAGAGAGAGACCAGAAAGAGAGACCACAGAGTGACCAGAGAGACCAGAAAGAGAGACCAGAGAGACCAGAGAGAGACCAGAGAGAGGCCAGAGAGAGACCAGAGAGAGACTAGAGAGAGACCAGAGAGAGACCAGAAAAAGAGACCAGAGAGACCAGAGAGAGACCAGAGAGAGGCCAGAGAGGGACCAGAGAGAGGCCAGAGAGAGACCAGAGAGAGACCAGAAAGAGAGACCAGAGAGAGACCAGAAAGAGAGACCAGAGAGAGACCAGAAAGAGAGACCAGAGAGAGATCAGAGAGAGGCCAGAGAGAGACCAGAGAGAGACCATGAGACTAGAGAGAGACCAGAAAGAGAGACCACAGAGTGACCAGAGAGACCAGAAAGAGAGACCAGAGAGGCCAGAGAGGGACCAGAGAGAGGCCAGAGAGAGACCAGAGAGAGACCAGAAAGAGAGACCAGAGAGAGACCAGAAAGAGAGACCAGAGAGAGACCAGAAAGAGAGACCAGAGAGAGACCAGAAAGAGAGACCAGAGAGAGATCAGAGAGAGGCCAGAGAGAGACCAGAGAGAGACCATGAGACTAGAGAGAGACCAGAAAGAGAGACCACAGAGTGACCAGAGAGACCAGAAAGAGAGACCAGAGAGACCAGAGAGAGACCAGAGAGAGGCCAGAGAGAGACCAGAGAGAGACTAGAGAGAGACCAGAGAGAGACCAGAAAAAGAGACCAGAGAGACCAGAGAGAGACCAGAGAGAGGCCAGAGAGGGACCAGAGAGAGGCCAGAGAGAGACCAGAGAGAGACCAGAAAGAGAGACCAGAGAGAGACCAGAAAGAGAGACCAGAGAGAGACCAGAAAGAGAGACCAGAGAGAGATCAGAGAGAGGCCAGAGAGAGACCAGAGAGAGACCATGAGACTAGAGAGAGACCAGAAAGAGAGACCACAGAGTGACCAGAGAGACCAGAAAGAGAGACCAGAGAGACCAGAGAGAGAGACCAGAGAGAGCGACCTGGAGTAAGCCGCTCTTGGATACATCAGCATTCTTCTTATCTTTCTCTTATCCTCAGAGGGTTTCAGAACATCAATAAAAGACTCTATATTTCCTTTTTCCCGATGTCGCCGTGACATTCAGAAGTGTGCTGGACCGTGCCGCACCAGATGGGACACACCGAGGACGGAGCGTTTTGCCAATTCCAGGTGTAAAACGTGAAGGGTTAAGCTGTGAGAGAGGTGAGGTTTGGTCTATTGTTAGATCCATGAAGGGAAAGTGAAAGTAAAAGCCGAGGACAACAATTTTTTTCATGAAGAGAGAAATGAAATTATGGTCTTAAAACCTAAACCTCTTTGTCATTCATTTTATTGTTTTATGTTTTTAGATCCAGGACTGAGACCAGAGAGCGAGACCAGAGTGAGACTAGAGAGAGACAAGAGAGAGTGTAATCAAGTCTCCGTATAAATGCACCTGCTCTTTGATAGTCTCAGGGTTCTGTTTAAAAGCGCAGAGAGAACCATGAAGACAAAGGAACACACCAGGCAGGTCCGAGATACTGTTGTGGAGAAGTTTAAAGCCGGATTTGGATACAAAAAGATTTCCCAAGCTTTAAACATCTCAAGGAGCACTGTGCAAGCAATTATATTGAAATGGAAAGAGTATCAGACCACTGCAAATCTACCAAGACCCGGCCGTCCCTCCAAACTTTTATCTCAAACAAGGAGAAGACTGATCAGAGATGCAGCCAAGAGGCCCATGATCACTCTGGATGAACTGCAGATAACTACAGCTGAGGTGGGAGAGTCTGTCCACAGGACAACAATCAGTCGTGCACTGCACAAATCTGGCCTTTATGGAAAGAAGAAAGCCATTTCTCAAAGATATCCATAAAAAGTATTGTTTAAAGTTTGCCACAATAATATTGCACGCCCCACTTTTCAGTTTTTTATTTGTTAAAAAAGTTTAAATAATCCAATAAATTTTGTTCCACTTCACGATTGTGTCCCACTTGTTGTTGATTGTTGACAACATTTTTAATTTTTATATCTTTATGTTTGAAGCCTGAAATGTGGCGAAAGGTTCAAGGGGGCCGAATACTTTCGCAAGGCACTGTATATGCATTTGAACGTCATTAATGTTATTTTAATTAATGCTGTGCTTATTTTTTGTTATTTGTCTCTTGCGTTTTAATGCAGATTGCAATTTCAGGTGCAATTCCAAAACAAAACTAAAATTGCAATAAAATCGTTGAAGTAGTAAACAGTCATATCGAATATCGTGCAGCCCTAATGTGAATAACCAGTAATATGTCTGCGTTTAAACTAGATCGAGCTCTCACCAGAATGGACTGCTTGCCGTACTCGATCCATCTCTCGGTGGCAAAGTTGGTGGACTCGGCGCAGTTAAAGCCGTGGTTGAAGCCGGCGTGGTACGAATAGGGAAAGGTCACCATGAACTGTCCGGCCTCCTGCGTGATCTGCAAAAGAGAAAGAACCAGCCTTTTAGAACCTGACACACGCTGCAGACGTCTGTGCTCAAACTACCTTCTCGAAAGGAATCCCGTATTTCTTGAGAATGGACGGAGAAATGAGAGTCATTTTGTGTCTCAGAAAGGCCTCGCAGTTCTGGGCACTGCCGGGGAAGAAACCTGAATAGAAAAATGCAAAGAGAGTTTTTAAAAAGGCAAATATTTGAATAAAAAGCCAAAAAAGAGGATCATAGGTGTTTTCATGAACCTTTTGCCAGACGCTCCAGTCGCTTCCCGTGCTCTGGAGGAATGCAGTACCTACAAACACACACGTGAATTACTCTGAAAGTATATATTACTGCTGTGGGCTAAGTTTAGTTTTATACACAGTTGTAAAGAACGTGCTTGGTGTGAGATGTGTGGGTGGAGTGAAACAACAAGACAAGCACTAAAGCAAATACTATAAGCCGCACCTGATTATAAGCCTCACCCATCCCACTTTGTAATATTGAAAAATGTGTTCTTAATCTTAAGCAGAAAGGTAAGAAGCAACATCTACTGGTTTCTCTTCACGTTCATGTCTATATAGAAAGAACCGACAAACCTCCTTATATTTTATTTACTATTTTAAAAACTATCGCACCGGACTATAAGCCGCACCCTTCAAAATACAGGAAAAAAGCTGCGGCTTGTCGTCCGGAATTTACGAGACTTGGCGTCAACAGAATCAGAATGATTTGTATTGCCATTGTAAGTAAGAGGAAGCTACAAACTAGGGATTTGCTTCGACACATGTTGCAACAAGATAGAAGTCACGATGGATATAAAAGGCAAACATAACATATGGTTTGGGTAAAGTCTTTTTGTTTGGTTTTCTTTCACAAGACAAAATAAATTATCTTGGTGGTGGGCGGGGGTTATAACCCGGCTCTAGGCTATAACCAAGGATTTACCAAACAAACAAATGTCAATTATAAAAGTTTATTATAAGAGAAAGCTGGAATAAACTAATGTCACAAAGGCGTGGGCGCTCAGGTGTAGGTCTGGGAGTGAAGTGAGCCAGCAGGAGCCCATGGCTGGAGGCGGGTCTTTTATGTGCGTCGGATCTACGCACGCACAGCCAATGCCACTCCTCAGCGACACCTGCAGAGAATAGCAAACATATACATGGCCACCAGAGGGCAGCCAAGACGGGGCCATGACACCCCGCCATAAAGCACGAGGATCTCCCAAGTATCCCGGGCCAATCACAGATCCGACAATAAACGTACCACAGACATAAACAATGCAGCAAACACTGCAAGAACCACCAACCTCTTCTGTTGCCACGTCTGTCCCCAGCAACCGGAGGACCGAGGAAGCATTTTAAGAGGAGAGAGGGCTGGAGGTTATAGGAATGCACAGCCACAGTTTACTCCTTACATTAGTGAACACAAAATTAACAAATATAGGCCAGTCACCTGACCATCCGCGGACTAGGACAGGTCATAGATCCCAAAACAGTGAACGGGTTACGGCGAGCATACACCACCACAGGTGTGCTGTGACCAAACCAAACACAAAAACGCTTCAGTGCTATCACAAGAGACAGCATCTCCTTCTCCAAACGAGTATACTTCAACTGATACTTTGCAAAACCCACGTTACATGACTCTGCGCGTGTACGTGACCCCTCACGCATTGAACACACAGCACTCAAACCACCACGACCAGAGCTTACATGGAGCTCGTATTGGCGGTGTTTTTTAGTAGGACCCGCACTAACACGCGCAACCGTGCAAACTGGGACAATTGAGCAGGATGACATTTCCTCGTGTGACGTGTCAGTGGGCGTGGAGCTCCACATGTGCGCGCCCGCCAGATCATTCCCCAAAATCACAGAGACGCCATCCAAAAGTAATGCAGGACGTACCGCAAGAGCTGCTTCCCCCTTAAACAACTCGCAGTCCAACCTTACCCTGTGCAGTGGTACAGACACAACATTCAGACCAATCCCACGAACTGGAACATGTTTACCAGTCTCGGACAGTGGAGACAGTGGTAGAACCCCGGACAATATGAATGAATCAGATGCACCTGTGTCCCTAAGAATACGAACGGGCACCTTACAATCGTCCCCAAACACTGACAAATCCTGACCGAATAAATGGCCAGTAGGAATCAGCCACAATAGAATTGTGCTCTCTTTGAGGTGATCCAACAACGCCACTCTCATCACGCACACACGCGTAACAAATCCAGTGCCGTGCGCATGAGACACAGGAGTCCTCATCTTATTTTTAACCAAAAAAGGACACTCCGATTTCCAGTGTCCACGCTTACGACAGTAGTTACAAACGCCATCAGCCTCCCGCAGACGGGGAGACAAATCTTGCTCGTTGTACACTTCAGACAGAAATGATGACTTATGCGTAAGAACATAATCATCCGCCAAAGACGCAGCAGCAGATGTCGTCAACGCTTTCTGTTCACAAATATATGTCGCCACAACATCAGGAACAGAATTTTTAAACTGTTCTAAAACAAGCTCAGAAAGCTGCTCAAAAGTGTTCGCTCCTGTAGACTGGCACCAGCGCGTAAAATGTATTTTTAGGTCACGCACAAACTCCAAATGGCTCTGATCTACCGCCTTAGAACACGTCCGAAAACGTTGCCTATACGCCTCAGGCACGAGCTCATACGCCTTGAGGACTGCTGATTTAACTTTGGCATAATCCTGGCTCTCAGACGTGCTCAATGTAGACAGTGCCTCCTGCGCGCACCCAACAAGAACACATTGAAGTAGCATAGCACGCGCAGAACTGCTCCAATCCCGCGCCACAGCCAAACGCTCAAATATCAGAAAAAATGAGTCCGGGTCACTTTCAGAAAATGTTGGTAACAACCGTAAATTACCAATGACGGCAAAACTGTTGTCAGAACCATCAGAGCCAAAAGAGGAACGGACAGCCGCCTGCTCCTGTCCGTGTTTAATTTGTTCCAACTTAACCCGTTAAATTTCAAACTGCAATTCTAATAACCTCAGCTGTTGTTCATAAGTCAAAACCGCCGATGGACCTGCAGAAGGCAAAGAGGCATGCGACTTTTCTTCAAGCACTCTTTGATCAATGAGATTGGCTATCAATATGGATCTTACGTTGTCTTTGCTCTGCTTTGTATCAATATCAATATCATATCTCTTTCCAATCTCAATCAATTGATCCTTTGTGCACTGGGACAAAAACTCCTCAGATGGAGAATCAAAAAAGTCGGAGATGTTCACCATTATTCTCCGAACAAACACACCCAAGTCAGAAATCAACGAGAGATAAAGTGCAGACAGTGACACATGCGCACCAGAAGGCCAACCAACAGAACCGATGCCCACTAAATCTCAACCCTAATCTTCACACGGTTCTGCGGCAGGGTTTTAAGCACTCCAAGGGGAGACCAGTGTGACCACGGTTCGTGCACCCGAGAACGCCGTGAAAACGGCGAACACTAACCGCTCCCCACGACTTAAACAAAACGAGCGAAACCAAAAGAGCAACGCCCCTATGCCTGTGGGACACCGGCCTGTGGGACACCGGCCTGTGACAGATGTTTAGGTGCACCGTACAACACTTTACTCACCTTGATGTACTGACTACGGGCAGGACTCACTCCCACTCTCCCAGAATTAACAACGCTCTTCCCCTCTGTGAAACAAATAGGAAAGGCAAATCCACCAAAACCTGCAGTGCAGCCAATGTTTCTGCACAACTTCACCTTTTGCGCCCACACATCAAAGAGAAATGACAAAACATCCAACATACACCGCAAACCACTCTCGTCCCAAAGTCCACTATGACGAGCCCCCACCTGTTATAACCCGGCTCTAGGCTATAACCAAGGATTTACCAAACAAACAAATGTCAATTATAAAAGTTTATTATAAGAGAAAGCTGGAATAAACTAATGTCACAAAGGCGTGGGCGCTCAGGTGTAGGTCTGGGAGTGAAGTGAGCCAGCAGGAGCCCATGGCTGGAGGCGGGTCTTTTATGTGCGTCGGACCTACGCACGCACAGCCAATGCCACTCCTCAGCGACACCTGCAGAGAATAGCAAACATATACATGGCCACCAGAGGGCAGCCAAGACGGGGCCATGACAGCAGGACATAGAAATTAAAACTACTTTCATCAGTTAAGGAAGTATTCGAAAAGAACATGGTTAATTAATGCCTTTTGACAGATTAGGGCCATTCAATGATTCTTACACATTACTACTTATAACCAGCACCAAATGGGCTCCCGTCCCACCCCTCCTCTCTCTCCTGCGTGTGACTAACCAGGACTTGGGCTCTCCGAAGTGCAGGTAGTTGATGCTGTAGAGGTCCATGTCCTCCGTGTGCCAGGCGAACGTGGTCTTCCACATCCCGAAGTACAGGTACGGAGTGTTCACGCCCTCGATGGTGATGCCGCTCTCGCTCTCCACCGTGTCCAGGATGGAGCCCAGGTTACAGATGTTCCACTCCTTCACCTTCTGTTAGAGGCAGAGCAGACCCAGCTTTAGTCAAAGGACTTTAGGGAAAATGCAGGTTAAAAACAGATCTGTCACATTGCAGACAACTGAAGGATTGCATCTTTACTCTTTCTAATGTACTGTGGTTATTTAAGTATTATTTTTTATGTTATTTTAATGTCTTGTATTGTTTCTATGTTGTTTTGTTCAACACTTTATAGTTGCCTTGTGTAAGAACTCTAAAAAAGTTCAAGGCACACTTCATTATTCCCGTGGGGCAATTAATCCTCTGCATTTGACCCATCATGATTCCAATAAGGCTTTTGTCAGGCATGGCTTGGTCAGGACTAGCCTGGCCTTATCCATCCGTACAGTTCGCTCAATCATCATTTCCTGCATGTAACGTCTGGGTCTGGTCCCCATGTACGCGATTACAATGGGTTGGATTTCAACCAACCAATCAGAGAGCGCGGGAGGCGGGTGTTGTAGTTAGTTGTGAGTCACGTCAAGAGTTTGCGTCGAACAGGCAGGTTGTAATCCGGTCTGGTTCTATCAAGAAATTGAAGCCGGAGCAAGGGTAATGTTTAGCAAATGTAATGTAAATGTAATTTAATGATTTTCAAACTGAACATTTCTCACGATGATAAAAACACATGTATCTGTTCAGAGATGCAGATACTGAGGAAGGCGGTTTGCACTTGTCTTCATCATCATCATCAGAAGAAGTATCAGTATTATTATAAAACCTGCACAAGACCATAACAACAAATATGAGCGTGTGTGAGAACTGCTTTTGAGTTGACTTACACTGGTAAACTGCATCTTTAGACTCTAGTTAACAAGATAAAATCAAATTCATAAACAAATGATCAAAAATGAGGTGTTAGTAACAGCAATAAATACCATTCATACACTGATATTGAAAACAAAAACAACATTAAAACAGTCGCTGAGAGGGATTTCACGGGAAAACTACAAACACACAGATAACACGATACCAAATATGAAACCGTTATTCTATGGTGAAGGAAAATGACTTGTAGCTTTTGTGCTGTGACTTTTAATAAATAAAAAAGGTACATACAGGGTCGTAGAGGGATCCGTTGACGTCTGCTCCGTAAAGCGGCGGGTTGAAGGTGACGTTCTTCCAGTATTTTCTCTCCAGATCTTCAAAGTCGTTGTAGTTTGGGCAACAGAACCTTTAACAATAAAACAGAGTCATGACTACAATTCAGTCAGTGGATGTGTGGGACTCTATGGTTCAGTTTTGGAGAGTCAAACTGGTTCCTCAAGAGGCGTTGGAAACTTATTCAAATGAACCCATTCCGTTCGTATTGTAATTTCAGGGTTCGCACAACTTGGCCATGTTAATTTTGGCTGCAATATGGACGCACTGTCACTGAGCAGCCAATCATTCCCTGGTGACATAAACAAGGGACCAACATTTTCATGGAGATGTACATTTTGAGAGAATCAAGTAAGTAAGTAATCTTTATTTATATACCGCCTTTTCACTGCACATCGGTGTCTCAAAGCGGTTTACAATTGTTATTTTTTTTTATTTTTTTTTGGGAGCGGGGTCGCCAGTACAGGAGGCACATGTCAGACCTATTGTACATATTTTTAGTGGTAGGGGAAACCGGAGCACCCGGAGGAAACCTACACAGACACGGGGAGAACATGCAAACTCCACTCAGAAAGGCCCTGGTCCAACCGGGATTCGAACCCAGGACCTTCTTGCTGAGAGGCGAGAGTGCTATCCACTCAGCCACCGTGCCGCCCGAGAATCAAGCATTTTCAAAAACACTGTTCAATAATAATAATAATAACAATACTGCATCGGTTTTATATAGCGCTTTGTTTGGACTATTCATTCACTCCATACCCTGATGAAACACTACTACTGAAGCCACAGCTGCCCTGGGGCACACTGACGGAAGCGAGGCAACCAGTCTGTGCCTTCAGCCCCTCCGACCACCACCAACCATTCACACACACACCAGACAAGGACACAACGACAGCAGACAGTGAGAGTCGATAGTGAAAGTCTTGAAGTGGGCTCGAACCCACGACCTTCTGGCTCAAAGGCCAATGCTCTACCAACAGAACTACTGTCGCCACTGTCCAAATCAGAGCATATTCCAAACCTCGAAAACACCTTAATGAAAATCAAACATTTTCTCGACTTTCAAGGATCTGTATGAACCCTGTCATTTGTTAAAAAAAAGAAATAATCTCTCATGATCTCACTTGTCGGAGTTGGCCATCTTCCTGAACTCTCGCAGGGTCATGGCTTTCTTCTGGATGTTGTACTGAGTGAAGAGGCCTGACTGCCCCGTCACCACCTGCTGGATGGGAGCAGGGATCACCAGGTCGTCAATGCTCTCGTAGGACCCACGAGGCTTCCACTCTTTGGGAGGCACGATCTGGAGACAGGAGTACAATATTAAAACACAAAACTCAACCCATAAGTGAATCCATTGGTCTGCACTTGCTTTGGCCAGACCGGCTTTGTGCGCTCCCTGGGACTCCATGTAGGCGATGTAGCGGTTGAAGTTCTTGAACTCCTCCAGCGTCGGATGGAAAGTCATGATGCCTTTGGTGGAGCCATGGTTTTGCGGTGGCGCGTCCATCATGACTATGCACAACAGAAAACAAATGAGACCGATTATTTATTATTCACAGTAATGAGTCTACCGGCTGACAGCAAAGATCTCATGGCATTCTGGCTTAGAGCAAAGTATTGTGATATTTAATTAAATATTAATTTTACTTTATCTGTTCCTCTATGATGTCTGCTTTTCCTGACTCTAGTCTGTTGTATTTGAATAATGTAATGTCCTGACTTTAAATGTAATGTCCTGACTTTAAATGTAATGTCCTGACTTTAAATGTAATGTCCTGACTTTAAGGATAAAGTGATCGCTTTAGTCAATGTGCAGACCATAGTAAATGTGACATTTGAGCTAAACTGACTTATTATTCTCAGTTTTTTTGAATGTCTAATATGAGGGACATGAATCGCAGAAATAAATCGCAATCATTTTAAATTCGCAATGTTAATAATCACAATAATAATGAAATGTTGCCCAATACTATTGAATTCTCAAATTTTTGCTAATTCCCACTTCTACTGGCACTGCAGACAATGTTCACTCTCTTTGAATTTGCACATTTCATTTTACCAGTATGAAAAGTGAATGGATGGACACACAGCAGTATTACAATCATTACAACCTCACTCAAAACAGAGGTAATCGGTATTAGGCAGGCGTCACCGTTACTCGTTTAAGAGAAAAAAAAAAAAGACTAATTTGTTCAAAACTTCTATCCATCAGACTCTTAATTGTCTCTACCAGTATATATTTGTTACTGTGCCATGTCTCTTGGCACATTGGGCACTAAATGTATCAAAGCTCAGACCGGAAGACTTATATTCTGTCATATAAACTCAGTCATCCTGCCGTTTTAACATGTTGCATTTCATCTCGTAATTGTTTTCTCCAACATATACAGCCTTCCTCCTCCCATTCCTCTCCTCAGCAGCATCATCTCCCCTGGGGTCATTGACTAAGCCCCGGGGGGATTGAGATTTCACCTCGTACTCATCAACAAGCCTAGGTACCAAAAAAAAAAAACACCTCTTATATCTAACTTACAGCATCAGATGTCATAAACTCATTGCCATTTTCCCAGATTGAAACACACACCTAAACCCTGCCCCTCAGACCGGTCAGACAAGATCTTATTTAGAGATTCATGTGAGATTCCAAGGCTCAAGTGTCACGATGGAATCCAAAACAAAGTCAATGCAAAGTTAAGATGGGCCGTAATGAAAAATATTATCAATATATTCAATATTTGAATATCAAAGAGAATCTTGGGGATATACACATGCAATTCAATGAACTTTATTTTGCATAGCCCTAAATCACCAAAACAGTCGTACAAAAGTTATAAATTCATTAAAAACAGATCAGAGAATCAAACAGCTCACAGGAAATGCAATATTAACACACAAATAGGAGCCACTGGTTCATTAGGAGCAGGATGACCACAGTCCATAAATATTGCCGATAATTATTGTCCTTAGACTCTCCTGCATCGATGAGAGATACTGTACTTTATTCTGAAAACATTACCCAGCGTTCTCCAGGATAAACAAAAGTGCAAAAGTTAAAACCCCCTTTTTTTACATTTAGCTTGTCCCAACAGAAAGTCATTTATTATTTTAAATCGGAACAAAAGGAGCTGAAGCAGAATCCCCACCCCCAAAACTCAATTACAATCAAACTTTTCATATTACAATACAAAATAGTAAAGAACAAGGACAAAGGCAGACTAAACAAACTACATACTGCACATCCTGAATTATAGAATAATCCACTATCAAATATTTACACAGAATATGGAATAGTTCATACCATAGCTATGTCTTAATGATATCTCACTGATCAGAGAGACCAGAGAGACAACAGATCTCCACAAATATAAAAACTAAAACTAAAAAACATTAAAATAAAATTCAAATAGGTTTTAAGAATTGTTCCTCGCCGACGCAAGAGGGTCTAAGGACAGGGGTGATGATCCAGGACACTCAAAATGTATTCATTCAACAACATTTATGGACATCGGTCAACTGCCTTTTATGGACCAAAGGCTCTGGGTGTTTTATTATCTGTATTAGAACCGTTTGATTTAGACTTAAGCCTGGTTCACACGGCAGGATAATTAGGCTGGACCCGATTTACCCCTACGACAATCGTAAGAACGCTCTGAATATCGTAACAAAAAATCTGATGGATTGTCCTGCCGTGTGTGGTGTCTTAAGACTGTGCTCGTCGCTCGGAAGAACTTCGGGACTGCTTCGATCTCAATATCGGGGATATCCAACATGTTGGATGGTTTTGGCCCGATTTCTCTCCGTGTGTGGTGTCCCCCGAGGACAGACGAGCGCGTTGCCATGACTGCGGCGTGTAGCCAATCAGAAGACGAGACGAGCCGGCGAGGAAACACCGTAAAAAAACCAAAACAGTCAGCGGCATGGCGCACCAGAAAGTTCGGTGGACATCAGAGATGGAGGAACAACTAGTTGACCTCTGGCAACACCGTGAATGTATGTATGTCGTGTAAAGAATATCATCACCGAAATGACAAGGAGAGGAATTGGGCAGAAATTGCTGCTGCACAGGTAGTGTTGGCATAAACCCTGTTCGGACGGGATTAGTACTAACTGATCAGACTGATGGTTGTGTTTGTACGTTTACTTTGCACTCTGTCCTAATGCAGTACAGACGTGTTGATGCAGCCGTTACTGCAGCCGTGCTTGTTGGTTTGCGCGTATGTAAAGTTTCATGTCTAGCAGTGTGTGTGATGCGTTCACAGGTTGTCCGTACAAACTGTATTGTTGAACAGCACAGACAGTACGGGCCAGAGAACTGTAGAGCAGTAAAATCCACATGTGTTTGTCCTCATGGTGTCTGTGGCTGCTGTGGTCAGACCAGAGTCTCTAAAGCAGGGGTGTCAAACTCATTTTGGTCCGGGGGCCACATACAACCTAATCTGATCTCAAGTGGGCCGGACCAGGAGATGCTCTACAAAAATATCCAAAAACGGTACAAAGTCCAACTTTTTGTGCACATAACCACATTTATTTAAAACTTCCTTTAAAACACTGTCCTTTAATACTCAGTTTTCTGTTACAAACTTAAATGTAACAGTGAGTTTTCCATAGTGCAAATAATGTAGCGTATTTACAATATTACATTGAAAATGGTATTTCACAATATTTATATTAATATTTGTATGTTAGCTTTGTTTTAAGGCTCATTACAGAGAAAATCTGCTCACAAAGGTAAAGTAGGTAGATAGAAAAAAGCACTTAAACATAGCACCTCAGCTTAACCATCTTCAGTGTGGTCAGGTCCATGGTTATGTTATTATCACATTAACCATCTTCAGTGTGGTAAGGTCCATGGTTATGTTATTATCACATTAACCATCTTCAGTGTGGTAAGGTCCATGGTTATGTTATTATCACATTAACCATCTTCAGTGTGGTAAGGTCCATGGTTATGTTATTATCACATTAACCATCTTCAGTGTGGTAAGGACCATGGTTATGTTATTATCACATTAACCATCTTCAGTGTGGTAAGGTCCATGGTTATGTTATTATCACATTAACCATCTTCAGTGTGGTCAGGTCCATGGTTATGTTATTATCACATTAACCATCTTCAGTGTGGTAAGGACCATGGTTATGTTATTATCACATTAACCATCTTCAGTGTGGTAAGGTCCATGGTTATGTTATTATCACATTAACCATCTTCAGTGTGGTCAGGTCCATGGTTATGTTATTATCACATTAACCATCTTCAGTGTGTAAGGACCATGGTTATGTTATTATCACATTAACCACCTTCAGTGTGGTAAGGTCCATGGTTATGTTATTATCACATTAACCATCTTCAGTGTAAGGTCCATGGTTATGTTATTATCACATTAACCATCTTCAGTGTGGTAAGGTCCATGGTTATGTTATTATCACATTAACCATCTTCAGTGTGGTAAGGTCCATGGTTATGTTATTATCACATTAACCATCTTCAGAGTGGTAAGGACCATGGTTATGTTATTATCACATTAACCATCTTCAGTGTGGTACGGTCCATGGTTATGTTATTATCACATTAACCATCTTCAGTGTGGTAAGGTCCATGGTTATGTTATTATCACATTAACCATCTTCAGTGTGGTCAGGTCCATGGTTATGTTATTATCACATTAACCATCTTCAGTGTGGTAAGGTCCATGGTTATGTTATTATCACATTAACCATCTTCAGTGTGTAAGGACCATGGTTATGTTATTATCACATTAACCATCTTCAGTGTGGTAAGGTCCATGGTTATGTTATTATCACATTAACCATCTTCAGTGTGTAAGGACCATGGTTATGTTATTATCACATTAACCATCTTCAGTGTGTAAGGACCATGGTTATGTTATTATCACATTAACCATCTTCAGTGTGGTACGGTCCATGGTTATGTTATTATCACATTAACCATCTTCAGTGTGGTAAGGTCCATGGTTATGTTATTATCACATTAACCATCTTCAGTGTGTAAGGTCCATGGTTATGTTATTATCACATTAACCATCTTCAGTGTGTAAGGTCCATGGTTATGTTATTATCACATTAACCATCTTCAGTGTGTAAGGTCCATGGTTATGTTATTATCACATTAACCATCTTCAGTGTGTAAGGTCCATGGTTATGTTATTATCACAGAGAAAGCATCAAACTGACCATGATTCAGTTGAAATGAATAAAACAACTTCCATAACGTGATTCATTCTTAACGACTGCAGCAGAGTCTCTGTAAAATACAGTCAAATGTCCAAAAATCATCACCTCCATTTGCAGCTTTGTCACTACACCTGTTTTTACCATCGGTACCAGTCCACACTGTCCAACACACCAGCAACAACAGCAGAACCAGCAGCAGCACCAGCAGCAGCGCTCAAAACTCCTCTGATAGTTTCAGTAACACCACAAATGAATATGTGACATCAGTAACATCAGTCTCTTATCAATGGCAACATGTTGGTAAAAGCGAGTGGTTTCTCAGACCATGTCTGCAGCCTGTGAGAGATTTAACAAACTCTCTCTCTCACTGTGCGGCTGCGATGCTAATGCTAATGTTGTTAGCACAGGTAGCTTCCCTTTACAGCAGCAGAACTAACCTCTTGCTCTGGACACAAACAGACTGCTGTGTCTTCAGGGCCAGACAGGTTTATCTTCTGTTTTCTCAATTCTCCGCTCAAAGTGCCGTATTTTTCGCCGAGTCTTGTAGTTTAAGATGTTATTCCTTCAGCACCGCTCTGGTGGAGCCACTACAGACGCACTGGACTCACCCCTGAGCGCGGCGCTTCGCGGTGCGGAGCCTCGCGGAGCGGCTTTTTAAAATGTAACTTTATTATATTTTTACATAAATGAGCCACGGGCCGTGTCAAATCTCTTGGCGGGCCGGTTCCGGCCCGCGGGCCGTATGAATGACACCCCTGCTCTAAAGGCTGCGTGAAGCAGAGAGGCCCGCACACTCTGTTTACTCTGAAGTCACGCTTGATCGAGAGATGTTGTGAGATTTCCGGTGACCTGTGAATGCTCAGGGGTGAAATCGGTTTGTGTGTGATTTGTGTGGTTTGCGAGATTTTGCCGTGCGGCTGCGCACCACACACTGTACGACCAAAGTGGTTAGATCCGTGATTTTTTATCTCTGTGTGTGACAGGCTCCGTGTCTCACACGGAGAAAAAAAAAATAAAAAAAATCGGCAGACAATTTTAAAATCGTCTCGTGTGAACCAGGCTTTAGACAGACTTTATTGATCCACAAGGGAAATTACGTTTTCACAGTAGCTTGCATAGTATTTCACCATAATAACGTTAAAGTAACAATCTAAAAATTAGAATAATAATGCAATAATATTTGTGAGAATAGAATAATATGGATAGAAGTACTCAGGAATATACATATCTGTGAATATGTACACATTTACAGTACAAAATATAGAGAAAATAGGATAGTACACATCTGTTATTATAAAATATATACAAGGACAAAGCAGATAGTATGATCTGTATAATCTGTCACAGAGCAATGACTTGTTGAATAGCAGGATGGAGTGTGATCAGATTGTGATCTGAGTTGGCGCATCGACAAGTGAGTTAAATCCTCCGAAATAACTACTGTTGTTATTTAGGTCTATACACTAGAGCTAACTTCCAAACGTAAATGCAATGAGTTTGCACACTTTTTCAATGACAAGGTTCAAGGCATCAAAAACGCCATTGTCTCCAATCCACAGATAACCATCCAACAGCCTGAAAGGCTCTCTGAGCTAACTTACTTTGCACCTGTAAATGATCAAACTGTCCAAGAGATAATCTCCAGTTTGAGCTCCTCCACATGCAGCCTGGATGTACTACCCACTAGATTTCTGAAGTCTGTTCTGAGCAGTCTGTTACCTTCACTCACACAGATAGTAAACATGTCCCTTAATTCTGGAATATTCCCAAAGGCCCTGAAAACGGCAGTCATCAGGCCCCTGCTTAAAAAGAGCAGTCTGGATGCTACGGTACTTAACAACTATCGTCCCATCTCAAATCTGCCATTTATGGGGAAAGTCCTTGAAAAAGTTGTCTACCTACAGCTTACTAGATTTCTTATAATTAACAACTCATTTGATATGTTTCAGTCCGGCTTTAGACCCCACCACAGCACTGAGACTGCTCTCGTCAAGGTTACAAACGATATCCGGCTGAACACTGACGCAGGCAAAGTCTCAATCTTAATCTTGTTAGAGCTAAGTGCTGCCTTTGACACCATCGACCATGAGATCCTCTTACAGAGACTAGAGGACTGGGTTGGCGTCGCTGGCACCGCCCTAAGTTGGTTTAGGTCTTACCTTGAAGACAGGAAGTACTTTGTGGAGATTGGAGACTGTGTCTCAGATCATATGGCCCTGACCTGTGGAGTCCCACAGGGGTCGATCCTGGGACCTCTTCTGTTCAATCTCTACATGCTGCCGTTAGGTCAGTTAATACGCAGAAACGAAGTGTCCTATCATAACTATGCAGACGACACTCAGATCTATGTCTCACTGACTGCAGGAGAACATGGACCAGTGGACTCACTCCTTCACTGTATCCAACAGATCAGTGAGTGGATGCAAAACAACTTCCTTCAGCTAAACGCAGACAAAACTGAAATGATTGTCTTTGGTCCCCAGAAACAAAGAGAGAGCGTCATCTGTCATCTACAGTCTCTCTCCCTAAAACCTTCAAACAAGGTCAGAAATCTAGGGTAATACTGGACTCAGACTTAAATTTTAATAGCCACATCAAATCAGTAACATCAGCAGCTTTTTACCATCTAAAAAACATTGCCAGGATCAAAAACATAGTGTCTAAAGCAGACTTGGAGATTCTTATCCATGCATTTGTCTCCAGTAGGTTAGACTACTGCAACGGCCTGCTCACAGGTCTGTCCAAACAGGCTGTAAAACAGCTGCAGTACATTCAAAATGCAGCAGCCTGAGTCCTGACTAGAACCAGGAAGTACGACCATATTAGTCCAGTTCTCAGGTCTCTGCACTGGCTTCCTGTGGCTCAGAGAATAGACTTTAAAACAGCTCTGCTTGTGTACAAGTCTCTCCATGGCCTCGCACCAAAATATATTAGTGACATGTTAGTCCCATATGAACCAGCCCGGACTCTGAGGAGCACAGGGACTGGACTCCTGTTAGTGCCCAGAGTCAGAACTAAACATGGGGAGGCTGCTTTTCAGATTCATGCTGCTAAAATCTGGAACAGTCTTCCTGAAGATGTGAGACAGGCCTCCTCTCTGACAATCAGGTTAACCAGGTTAAAGACGGTTCTGTTTAGCTGTGCATACAACTGAGGGATTTTATATTTTTATCTTTTTTTTTTATGTACTGTGAGTATTTATGATTTTAATGCTTTCTTGTTTTGTTCAGCACTTTGAATTGCCTTGTGTATGAATTGTGCTATACAAATAAACTTGCCTTGCCTACACAAATACATTGAATTGAAATTACAATTTTCTACGACTCTCAATTTAACGGCTTAAAGACCTTATGACGGGTTTTTAAAAAAAAAATAGTGGATATCAAAATTGCATGACAATGTAAATTTGAAAGAGATTCCGGCAAAAAAAATCCTATATTTTATAAAAAGAACGTGTTTTTCATGAATTTAAGTTGTCTATGCTCTAACCTGTGTGTGACGTCATAGCGGGTTACGCCCATTCATTGAAAACCATGGATCTATGCCACAGGACTGCCTTTTCTCTCTTCTCTCCACTGATGCCCAACTCAATACTGCACTCTACAGGCGACAATTGCTCACTACACATAAATTGCCGTTTTGAGTGTGAAAAAGTGTCTGAGGTGGGATTTGAACCCCAGTATCTGGATTGGGAGTCCATTGACACAACCACTGGACTATCTCAGTGACAACGAAATGTGACATTCTAGTAGTTACCTTAGACTCGCTGTACACGGCCTTGTCATCTTGAATATCCGCGAAAAAAGAACGAATACCAAATTGTAAACAACTTACAGCGTTGAAACGTACCCGTTCTGACGTCATCAAGGGCTGTGAAGTTTTTTCGTTTCTAAGGGCGTTGCTATGGGGTTATTTCGATTTGGGGGGGATCAGACAAAAAAAACAACTGATTTTAAAACCTTTAGTAGTTCTCTTCTAATATAAAATGGTATTAAAACTGTATTTCTAAATAAATCAAACCCGTCATAAGGTCTTTAAACTGAGAACCGAGTGATGTTTAATGATCGATCTGAATATTTTAAAATCAATATATATAAAGAAATAAAAAGCCAGGGAAATAGTGAGAGAGAGAAGCACTGGACCCACAAAGTGACCCACAAAAAAATATACTGTGGCGCGCGTGCCCAAAGTAGCGCCTGTGATTGGCTGGAGCCGCGTCTCTTTAATTAGCCCACTGCTAACACATTTAGCCCAGATCAGTCACACGGGGCCATTCACCCACAAACCCACCGGCTTTGCACTTCTTTATCGTACAAATACAACCATAAGAAACCACTCTACAGCCAAACCTACGCACGACTCAGGTTGACAAGCAGCGGGTCCCATAACACACCACCATTTTAAACTAATATCAGAGAAACTAAAGCGAAAGCAATGCATTAAACGAGTCAAAAGTTACAGTTTGACATGCTACTGTATTTTTAGGAGTAACTTTACACATTCCATGCAATGCTAATACCACAGCATGCATACAGTGAGTTTAAGCTAGCATTTAGGCAGCGTTTGTTTACTCGCAACACACAAGCGAAGTAACATTTATATTATTATATTAGTCAGACACCAGCATGCATTCATAAATATTTAAAACTTATTTGCAGTACTAGTAATACGTGTCTAGTGCGTGGATAATAAGTCACATTACGCTGGCTCCATTAAATTAAATGGAGACGCACCCGCAGCGTAGTAGCATATGTGGCTAACACCCATGCTAACAGCGTCCCGATCACGTTTTCCGCACACAAACTGGGGGTTTGCTCGACTTAAGAGCGTGCACACTCACCGCCGTCCGCTGGCGAATGTACCGCGAGTGCTCTGCGGTGTCGAGGAGCGAAACCAGCCGAGAAAAGTGCTGCAGAGACGGCGTAGAAGGGAGCTGTTTGGTCCGTGAGCAGGAGTCACAGGCGAGCCTCCATTAGCTCCAGTGCGCATGCGCAGTCACGGCTAGTTTTGTTTACTGCAGACGGCACGAGGCGCGTCAAGCCAACCAGAGCTGGGGCTGCGGTCTACGGCACCGACTGATGAAACCTGCTGGGATTTTTACAACGATAATATATAATAACTATAAATTGTACAACAGCTGAAGGCGTTGTGAGCGACTTCATACAGTAAACAAAAACAAAGAAGAAAAAACACTAAAAACATTCAAAATATACAATCTTTACGCCCTTATTACACAATTACATCCAATTACACAATCAAACCCCTATTGCACAAGTACACCAGTATCAGACCATGAAGAAGATAAGATAAAAGAGCCTTTATTGGTCCCACAGAGGGGGAAATTTCAATTTTGCAGCGCACATACAGGACAGTAGTAAGAGCACACAGGGGGCACACAAAATAGGCAAGGCAAGGCAAGGCATGTTTATTTGCATAGCACAATTCATACACAAGGCAACTGAAAGTGCTGAACAAGATAGCATTAAAATCATAAATAATCACAGAACATTAAAAAGAAAGATAAAAATATAAAATCCCTCAGTTGTATGCACAGCTAAACAGAACAGTTTTTAACTTGGTTTTAAACATAGTCAGAGAGGAGGCCTGTCTCACATCTTCAGGAAGAATGTTCCAGATTTTAGCAGCATGAATCTGAAAAGCAGCCTCCCCATGTTTAGTTCTGACTCTGGGCACTAACAGGAGTCCAGTCCCTGTGCTCCTCAGAGTCCGGGCTGGTTCATATGGGACTAACATGTCACTAATATATTTTGGTGCGAGGCCATGGAGAGACAAAATAGACAAAATAAGTATGTTTCTTAGCTATCTCTAAATTCTTCAATATCAATATATATGCATAATTGCACATGATTGCTGTATTTACTTCCAGATGAGATGACATTTACAGGCTTGGCAGTTTTCATTGTACAGTCTGACAGCAGCAGGAAGGAAGGATCTGTGGATCCTCTTCTTCACACAGTGAGGGAAAGAAGACAGATGAAGATGGAACAAACTCTAGTTTAGCTGCTGTGGACTTCAGAATGCACGTGTTAAATGAATGGGGCTAGTGCAGCTCTGCCCAGCGGCCATTTTGTAAAAGCCCACAGAAGGCCACAGTGATGGTACATTAGTTTGAACGGCGGAGACAGACCTGACTACATCAGTTAATATATACAGTCTATGATACATACACATGTACATACACATCTATACATACATACACACATATATATACAGCTACATATAGAGTGCATACACAAACAAATACACACACACACACACAAATGTACATCTACATATACAGTACAAACACATACACACAAACTTAAACACACAAATACATGCACAATACAGTTTTCTTATTTAAAATACTATTTATGAAACAATAAAAGTGTTGATTATTCAATATCTATATTTAGGCTCTGGAGACAAATGTATTATTATTCACTATAATTATTCAAAGAGGGTTTCCAGGGTTCCTCAGGGTGGTCCTTAGGGGGCTGTCGGGTCCGCCTTTTGAACCGGCGGCGGAGGCGAGTCCCGAGTGTGTTGCTTTTAAGACGGCCCTCTTGCTGGCGTTGGCGTCTGCTAAAAGGGAGGGCGACTTGTGTGCGCTCTCCGTCCATGCGTCTTGCCTGTCCTTTGGAGAGGGCGACGGCATGGTGGAATTGTGGCCCAATCCGGCCTTTCTCCCCAAGGTCATCACGTCGGCCTTTACCTTCTGTGTCCTGTCAGAATGCTGAGGCATTACCTGGCCATGACGTCGTCATTCAGGTTGGGTGGTCAGCTGTTCGTGTGTCTGGGCCCCAAGAACAGGGGCGCCCCGCTGTCGGCTCAACGGCTGGCGCACTGGGTCGCCACGGCTGTGCGGCGGGCGTATCCGGCGCAGGGTCTGGCCCCCCCGGTGGGCTTCAGGTCGCATTCCACGCGTGGGATGGCGGCCTCTACGGCCCTTCTCAGGGGAGGCGTCGGTCGAGGACGTCTGCCGTGCGGCTTCTTGGGCGTCATCCTCCTCTTTCGTCCGGTCTTATCTTTGGATGTGTCGGACCGGTCGGTGGCCCATTCCGTGCTGAGTGCAGCGGACTGAGTTAGACCGTTAGGTCCCTCCTCTGAGGGGGCCTTCGGTTTACTTTCCGCCCTGGTTCAGGAGCTCTTGGGAGAGGCGTCCTACAGGTGCGGTATTTATATGTGTGCTTTGGTCAGTCAGGTAGTCCACGTCAGGAGCTCTTGGGAGAGGCGTCCTGGGACTACGGATGACCTACGGTCTGTGTTACGTGGGGGTATCCTTGGTAGGAGTGGCCCTGTAACACGCAATTGCTTCTTCTGCCCTGAGTCCTCTCACTTTGTGAGGGTCTTGCTCGGGCGGAGCTCCAATCTTTCTTCGCTGGCCTGCTGGGAGTACATGTTCCTACGGCCTCCGCGTTGTGTCCCACTAGCGAAGTCCTAAGGGACGTAGCACCATGACGTAGAATTAATAGTTACCTAATGCTTAACTAACTTGACTTAAGTTCTACGAATAGGTGCGTAGTCCCTTAGCTACGAGCCCATCAGGCCAGCCCGGCTTGGCAGAGTTCAAGAGGGGGTGCGGCCTTGTGCAGGGGCATTTATAGAGGAGGGTGGCTGGTGATTGGAGCAAATTATTTTGATCTCTCTGGCGTGTGACTTGGGGGTCACGAGTGATATCCCACTAGCGAAGTCCTAAGGGACTACGCACCTATTCGTAGAACTTAAGTTATATTAGGTAACTATTAATTATTGTGTTTTGTGTCTGTGGGTGCATGTCTGTGCATGAGAGGATCTGATGATGAGTCCAGGGCAGTACAGTGAGTCAGGGTTTGTTTCATAGATTAGAGTAAAAGGAGGGGGTGGGGGGTGCGGGGAGTTGGAGGGTACAGTTCACTGTTTAGGAGTGGTGAGTGACAGTCAGATTGGGAGTGTGCGAGCATTGAGCCAATGGTGCTTTGCTCGCGAGAGTAGGAGGCTGTGCGATGTTTGTGTATTGAATTGAGTGTTATTTGTTGTGTCCTGTGGATGTGTCATGAGCAAATATGTAGTGATGTGTGTGGTGTTATAAGAAGTGTATTTGTTGTGTGCTTTGTGTATGTTTGTATGGCTGTGTGTGCGTTGTCCATGAGAGAGGCCGTTTTATCTCGTGTTGTGTTTATATACATATACATACATACATACATACATATCCACATCTATATATATCCATATACATATCCGTACACATACATATCTACACATACACATTCATGTATATATATATATATATATATATATATATATATATATACACAGACATACCATACACACACATAGATACATAATATATACATACATACACATATATAGACATAGAGATAGAGAGAGAGAGATTAAGTTATGTGGTGATGTATGTTATTGAAAGCATTGCATCAGTAGAGCCAAGGTGTTATTTCAGAGTCTCCATATAGTTGTCCATTTATGTACAGTTTGTCGATGCTTATTACGGCTTTCTGTCCTTGTTGAATCATGTTTTTGCGTATACTGGGAAGAGTTTTTGGCGTCTTTGAATTATTTCCTTCGGGAATTGGTCGTTCATTCCGTAGTCGACCTTGTTTCTGAACCTGTTCCTTTTGTTACATTTAATAATAATCTGATGAACAACAAACAATGTCATTTACGAATTCATCAATCGCAAAAACATTTAATTGTGGACCAAATATGGCAACATTATAGAATTGTCACTTTTTTGCCTTTTCCATCCTCCTCCAGGACTGGCCTCCTGCTGGGACTCTGAGGAGCACAGGGACTGGCCTCCTGCTGGGACTCTGAGGAGCACAGGGACTGGCCTCCTGCTGAGACTCTGAGGAGCACAGGGACTGGCCTCCTGCTGGGACTCTGAGGAGCACAGGGACTGGCCTCCTGCTGGGACTCTGAGGAGCACAGGGACTGGCCTCCTGCTGGGACTCTGAGGAGCACAGGGACTGGCCTCCTGCTGAGACTCTGAGGAGCACAGGGACTGGCCTCTTGCTGGGACTCTGAGGAGCACAGGGACTGGCCTCCTGCTGGGACTCTGAGGAGCACAGGGACTGGTCTCCTGCTGGGACTGAGGAGCACAGGGACTGGCCTCCTGCTGGGACTCTGAGGAGCACAGGGACTGGCCTCCTGCTGGGACTCTGAGGAGCACAGGGACTGGTCTCCTGCTGGGACTGAGGAGCACAGGGGCCGGCCTCCTGCTGGGACTCTGAGGAGCACAGGGACTGGCCTCCTGCTGGGACTCTGAGGAGCACAGGGACTGGTCTCCTGCTGGGACTGAGGAGCACAGGGACTGGCCTCCTGCTGGTCCCAGAGTCAGGACTAAACATGGGGAGGCAGCGTTTCAGATTCTTGCAGCTAAAATCTGGAACGATGGAAAGATTCTTAATTCTGTCTTGTCAAGCCCTTTGAGTTGCCTTGTGAATGAACTGTGCTATACATATAAACTTGCCTTTCCTTTAACCACAACATCACACAGACAGGACACAACTCTGAGACTGTGATCTGTTTATTCCATGCCAGGAAAGGCACATCGAGACAATAAATCCAACTGTTTCCATTTAATATCATGTTATATGCATCTACATTCAGGCAGTGCATATAATCTATGACTTTTAAGAATAAATGCAGTAATAACATTAATACATTTTGGAATAACCACGACGGGAGGAGCACTGACAGTCCGTGAATGCACAACTGGAGAAAAGAAACCGCCACATCTTTCACGCACCGGGGAGACACCAACGAAAGAACCATATTTCAGCAGCAGTTGGTGGAAAGTCCGTGTAGTCTCCGGTCGTCGCGTGTTTCCTCCGTGTAGTAGTTGCATAAAAACCAAAATTCCGATCCACTGCAGCTTTGGTTAACTCGGAAAAGGTTCAGTCTTTTTCCACGACGTATTTGAACAACACAGAAAGCACTGTCCAGGAGCTTATATATGTAGCGTGTTAGCTTTTGTCCCATTATGAGACGGAGATACACCCAATGCATGAATGTCACCAGTGAGACAAACGGTTACATCAAAGAAAAAGAAAGTGGGGTTTAAAAGGAATGCACTGAACCCATTTCTATCTGGTTTTAGTGGCCATGTGTACGGACTGTTCTACACAAATAAACTTGACTGGAGTAGGGATTCGTACATCAATACCTACAGGATTCCCGCACACCCTCTGACACGCCACAGTGGACGAGCCTGGTCGGAGTAGTCCCATCAAAAAGATCCGCATGTTTTCCGCATGTCCTGTGTCTCTCCAAATAATGTTTGTCTGAGTTTGTTTTGCTTTCTGCTGTTGAATAACTGTCATAAAGAGCACGGAAATATGAAAATAGTGTACGCGGCCAGCCTTGATGCTTATTCGTCGAACTGAATTTCTCCATTGTGAGATAATAAAGTATTTGATCGATTGATTGAACTGTGAACTACTCATCAGTTCTGTTAGTTTACTGTTACTTGGCACAAAAAAAATCACGCCTCTAAAAAAAACGTATACATAAGCCGCACCTAACTATAAGCCGCAGCCTTCAAAATGCTGGAAACAAGCCGCTGCTTATAGTCCGAAAAATACGGTACATTTTTGATTGTGATTGGTTCTTTTCTGATTATATAGATTTGTATATTAATGTCATTTAGATAAAACAAAAACCTGTATTTATTTATCGTATTTGCTCTACATTTACTTCATATCTCTTTTATAGTTGACTTAATGCAAGTGGCCACTGAACTGAATCTTGATTTCTTCCTCTTTTTTCCGTCGGACTCGGAGTAAGAACGTTTTTATATCTATCTCTCTGAACATCTTTTTGTGCAGCACTTGTTGTTTTTGAACTGTGCTCTTTAAATAACGTGAACTGTATTGAATGCCAAAAATAAATGTAAAAAGTCTGTTATTTTGTTGTTTGTTTAAGGCCAAGAAGCTTCCTCAAAAGTGACAAAAGTGTGACAAAGCTAAAGTAAGTTAGCAGCCCTAGCTTCTTTACACTTTTGTCTTAATAGAAAAAAAACGTCTGTGCCTGGATTTAACGCAGCTACACAACCACACAATCAAACAACCACACAATCAGACAAACGCACAATCAGACAAACACACAATCAGACACTTTCGATCAGTAAATTCAACCCAGCGATCAGTATCAGTGCGTTCCCTGTTGTTGCAAATGTGAGATAAAAGGTCATTACACGCTCAGCTTTCTGACGTAATGGCGTTTTCCTGATGGCAGCTCATGTTTGTGCATAGACTGTAGAAATGAATGGAAAGCTTATTTATTTTCATATTTAAAAATGGCTAAAATTGGCGTCTCTAGAGCTCACTTTTATCCACATTTATTGCCGTGTTGGTGATTTTCAAACTCAGTGTTAATTCAGACCTGGAAAAAACGGTTTGGTGCAAAAAGAGCTGAAAAATAATTTTAAAAAAAAGCTCAAAACTGGCAAAAAGTATCTTAATTACACATTTCTAATTACAAAGGTCTGGATTTGCTCCATTGACTCTGTAAACAGGTGGGAGAGATTAACTCCTTTTGCAGATTGAAACGATTGGATCTGATTTTACCGTGACGTCTTGTAAGGAGCCTGAGTGAGTCGTTAGCATTTAGCATTTAGCCTAGCTTTAGCCATCTCCGTTGCCGCTAACGGAGCCCCTGGGGAGTAGCACCACAATCTTTGCAGCGATTACATTTGCTAAACATTCCTCTTGCTCCGGCTTCAGTTTCTTGATAGAACCAGAACAGAATACTTTACTATCACATTCTTCTCCAAACTACAACCCGCCCGTTCGACGCAAACTCTTGACGTCACCCACAACTAACTACAACACCCGCCTCCCGCGCTCTCTGATTGGTCGGATGGAATTCAACCGATTGTAATCTCAAACACAGGGACCAGACCCAGACGTTACAGGCAGGAAATGATGATTGACCGGAGAGTACGGATGGATAAGACCAGGCTAGAAATGGCTTTGTCCTGTTGGAGAAATCTGCTTTTAAAACAGAATGAACTCAGATTAAGATAAAAACATTTGATTCAAGCATTTATTACCTCATATTTTATCATTTTTTTGCAGTGTTGGTTTAGTCTTTTCTCTAAAGTTGAATATTGCATTATAGATATTTAGACACAGCACTTTCTCACACGTGACATCAGAGAGAACCTAAAGTTTAGTCTCTGTTTCACCAGAGCTAAACAAGATCAGACTGAGAACAGTTTTAAACATTATTATTATTGTTATGATCCGTCTTTGACTTTCAGACCTTTGTTTGTTTCTAAACGACTAAAACGCGCTTTAGACTTTTGGTTTCCTCACAGATATCTGGAATCTCAGATATCTTGAATCTCAGATATCTTGAATCCCATGAACAGAACTAGAACATTCTCTGGCGTCACAGACACTTCCTGTCACTTTAAAGACTTTATCTCTCGTGGTTAAAAAACAGATTCAAACCATTTCATTCTGTCCTGAATGTTTAAGGTTTTATTTGGGATTGTTTTGTTATTTTTGCCTTTTCTCAGTAAAACAATCAGATGAAGCTGTAAAAGAGTCAATATGGCTGTTTAGAGATGTTATACTTGCTTCTTCATGACGCTAAAGTTAGACATTTTATTCTATGTTAGTAAAGAATTATTGTTCATTTATCTTCTTTCTTCTGTAACCGGTGATGCAACACTGACATTTCCCCTTTTTCAGACAAATAAAGGATCTTAAGACTCCATTTTTGTTTTTTTCAGTGTTATTTTAAAATCCTTGTTTGTATTTTGTGTTGTATTGTATAGTTTCCCAGAACCTGTGTGTGCAGACACCAGACTCAGACTCGGCATTGTGGGTAACGTGTCTTGCCCAAGGACACAAGGGCAGCCCCCACCTGGTAAAGCAGAGGTCTCCCATCACCATCTGACCAGGTTCTCTCACACTGTACACTGTTCTATTTACAGTTTCAGCTTTTTGTAACAAGACAATGTGGTGTTCGTCGCTTTGAAGCAGTGGTTCTCAACAGGTGGGTCGCACACACGGAAAGATAAAGGGATATTTTGGTCGCTCACAAAGGTTTCGTCAACAATATTTATATATTTAAGGTGCAGTGATCTTGGAAGAAGTGAAATATTCTTGAAAAAAGTGTCTGAGTGAAAGAAAATATGAAAGTGACCATAATACTTTTAGACTTAAAGCTGGAGAACCTTCTTTTTGTTTCATAAATACATTTTGTTTGTCCTGCAGGAGCCAGATTAGAAGCATTGTTAGTAGCACAGTCCCCATGGCAACGTGTGTCTCCATCTAGTGGACGTACAGGGTAAAGACTGCATAAGGTGGGGCTGGATTAACCTGGAGGTGACTGCAGCAGAGACAGTCTTTGACCTGTGTGTGTGTGTGTGTGTGTGTGTGTGTCTCGCTCTCTCTGTCTGTGTCTCTCTCTCTTTGTGTGTGTGTTTCTCTCTCTGTGTCTCTGTCTCTCTCTGTGTGTGTGTGTGTGTGTGTGTGTATGTGTGTGTCTCGCTCTCTCTGTCTGTGTCTCTCTCTCTTTGTGTGTGTGTTTCTCTCTCTGTGTCTCTGTCTCTCTCTGTGTGTGTGTGTCTCTCTCTCTCTGTGTCTCTCTCTCTCTCTCTGTGTGTGTGTGTGTGTCTCTCTCTCTCTGTGTCTCTGTCTCTCTCTCTGTGTCTCTGTCTCTCTCTCTGTGTCTCTCTCTCTCTCTCTGTGTGTGTGTGTGTCTCTCTCTCTCTGTGTCTCTGTCTCTCTCTCTGTGTCTCTGTCTCTCTCTCTGTGTCTCTGTCTCTCTCTGTGTGTGTGTGTCTCTCTCTCTCTCTGTCTCTCTCTGTTTGTGTGTCTCTCTCTGACCTCTTTTCTCCACCTTAGCCTGGCTGCTTTTGTTCATCTACATTTATCTGCCCCAAACTGTTTTATTTAATCTTTCTGTGTGTTGTTCAACATGTTTTGTGTCGACATTTCTAATATATATGTTTTATATTCTTATTATAAGTGACAGAAACCGTGTTAGAGCCAGGACCTTCCAGGAGTTTCAGGTCAAGTTAGGTACCTCAGCTTTAACTCCACAAAAAACAGATAAAAAACCCAATTCACTCAATTATATTTTTCCCAGAGTTGAACGAGCTCCAGTTCAGAACCACTGCTTTAAACTATTATAAGTTAGTCAGTATTTAGTAGCAGTAACATGTTTAAAATATATCAGCAATCCATGTTTATTTGTATCTGCTTTTATTATTATTTTTATTTTTCATCTTGTTTTGTTGTTTTTAATTTCAATAATATTCTAAATAAAACTAAATTCTTACTTATATATATTTTTTTAAATTTCAAAGTAAGTTTCATTGTCTTATTTAGCTTTGCATTGATCTTTTAACAGTGTCTATCTTTTTCATTGCATTTTTAATACATTAGTTTTAACATGTATTTTCACTGTTTTAGTTTCTTGTGAAGCACTTTGGGTAACTCTGTATGAATTGCGCTATATAAATAAATGTGATTGATAGAAGTCCATTCATTTCTACTGCCCAGTTTTGTTTTGTTTTGTAGTATGGTCAAAACCCAGTATAGGCCTTCACATTTTTTTCTCTAGGCTGCAGAAGGAGTCATGCAGGACCTGGAAACAGGAAGTGTGTGTCCCTATAAATAACAGCACTAGAAATGTCATATATATAATTATCTATTGATATATTTATATTCTGCAGCGGCTTCTTCAGCTGTGGTGTGTGTTCCGTCATGCGTGGATGGAGTTGCATTGTGCTTATAACACCGACACAGGTATAGGCTTGGACCAGGGTTAATATAGAAGTTATGAAAATAAATATATCTGCCATGTACAAAGGAATCCACAGACGAGTGAGCGTTAGAACTGACAATACCACTTTTCAAATTCAGAATATTTTCAACCATCTTCACAATATACAAGATGGAACTCAAGACTCAAACTCAAGATGTCCGCAGAGATCGATAAGTCCGTTCAAATTCTCGGATATTTTGTGACTGAAGCAGAAAAGATGGATTTTGGTGTCTTTTCCATTCTCCAAATTCTCTCTCCAAGTCTTTGCAAACGCAGCTTTATAAGTCTTGCTTTCTTTCGCTTCTCCTCTTGGCCTCGCTGGCCCCAAAAAACAAGGCCGCGGTCATGACAGCAAGCAGCCAGCAGGGGGCCACGCACGCCAAAAAACGCCACAAAACCCATTCACATTGATCGAGAAATGCTTGTATGTCTTGGTTATTTGTCTCCGGACTTTGAGATTCTGAGCGTCTGGAAAGTGCTGCTTAAGGTCAGGGTTTTCTCTGTGGTCGTACTGGTGGTGGTCTGGGGCTTGCTGGACTGGTTCTTGTTGGACTGGTTCTTGCTGGTCTGGTCTGGTTCCCACAGGAAGAACTCGTGCAGCAGCGTGTTGACGGTGTCGGGGCACTCCATCATGACCATGTGGCTGCCCTCCTCGATCACTTTGAGGAAGGCGAAGAGCAGGATCTGAAAGCACAAGAGGGCTTTTTATTATCTATTTATTGTAATATTTAAGGTGGTAAGTATTTTCTATTGTAATATTTAAGGTGGTAAGTATTTTCTATTGTAATATTTAAGGTGGTAAGTATTTTCTATTGTAATATTTAAGGTGGTAAGTATTTTCTATTGTAATATTTAAGGTGGTAAGTATTATCTATTGTAATGTTTAAGGTGGTAAGTATTATCTTTTGTAATATTTAAGGTGGTAAGTATTATCTTTTGTAATATTTAAGGTGGTAAGTATTATCTTTTGTAATGTTTAAGGTGGTAAGTATTTTCTATTGTAATATTTAAGGTGGTAAGTATTATCTTTTGTAATGTTTAAGGTGGTAAGTATTATCTTTTGTAATGTTTAAGGTGGTAAGTATTTTCTATTGTAATATTTAAGGTGGTAAGTATTATCTTTTGTAATATTTAAGGTGGTAAGTATTTTCTATTGTAATGTTTAAGGTGGTAAGTATTTTCTATTGTAATGTTTAAGGTGGTAAGTATTTTCTATTGTAATGTTTAAGGTGGTAAGTATTTTCTATTGTAATATTTAAGGTGGTAAGTATTATCTTTTGTAATATTTAAGGTGGTAAGTATTTTCTATTGTAATGTTTAAGGTGGTAAGTATTTTCTATTGTAATGTTTAAGGTGGTAAGTATTTTCTATTGTAATATTTAAGGTGGTAAGTATTTTCTATTGTAATGTTTAAGGTGGTAAGTATTTTCTATTGTAATATTTAAGGTGGTAAGTATTAGCTTTTGTAATATTTAAGGTGGTAAGTATTATCTTTTGTAATATTTAAGGTGGTAAGTATTTTCTATTGTAATATTTAAGGTGGTAAGTATTTTCTATTGTAATATTTAAGGTGGTAAGTATTATCTTTTGTAATATTTAAGGTGGTAAGTATTATCTTTTGTAATATTTAAGGTGGTAAGTATTTTCTATTGTAATGTTTAAGGTGGTAAGTATTTTCTATTGTAATATTTAAGGTGGTAAGTATTTTCTATTGTAATATTTAAGGTGGTAAGTATTTTCTATTGTAATGTTTAAGGTGGTAAGTATTTTCTATTGTAATATTTAAGGTGGTAAGTATTTTCTATTGTAATATTTAAGGTGGTAAGTATTTTCTATTGTAATATTTAAGGTGGTAAGTATTTTCTATTGTAATATTTAAGGTGGTAAGTATTTTCTATTGTAATATTTAAGGTGGTAAGTATTTTCTATTGTAATATTTAAGGTGGTAAGTATTATCTTTTGTAATATTTAAGGTGGTAAGTATTTTCTATTGTAATATTTAAGGTGGTAAGTATTATCTTTTGTAATGTTTAAGGTGGTAAGTATTTTCTATTGTAATATTTAAGGTGGTAAGTATTATCTTTTGTAATATTTAAGGTGGTAAGTATTTTCTATTGTAATATTTAAGGTGGTAAGTATTATCTTTTGTAATATTTAAGGTGGTAAGTATTTTCTATTGTAATATTTAAGGTGGTAAGTATTATCTTTTGTAATGTTTAAGGTGGTATGGTTATTGCACTTAAAGCTTTCTGACACAAGGGAATGGGCTCTATGCACGCGCCACTTCAGCGTTTTAGCTACAACCCCACTTCACTTCCTGTTCGCGGTTTACATACTTATTGCTGTGTTGGTAATTTTCTTAATGAACAGTTGGAAATGGCATAGTCCCAAACTCAGCTCACAAAAAGAAATGAAAAACAAGCACATGACGGCCTTAAAACAAGATTTGCCAATGGGACAATGAGCAGAATGATCTAGTTTTAAAAAGATAGAAAAAGAAAATGTCTCTCTTGGAACGAGAAAATAACAGTTTTTGAAATAAGTTTTAACAAAGTCACAATGTGCTCAGACTAAGTTAAAAGCTGTTTGATTCCAATACACTTGTTAAATGAATGGGGCTAGTGCTGCTCTGCCCAGCGGCCATTTTGAAAAAGCCCACAGAAGGCCACAGTGATGATACATTAGTTTGAACGGCGGAGATAGACCTGACTACATCAGTTAATATATACAGTCTATGATACATACACATGTACATACACATCTATATATACATACACACACATACTGTATAAACACACACATACAAATACACATCTACATTTACAGTACATACACATACACACAAACTTAAACACAAATACGGATACAATACAGTAAAATACTGTTTATGAAACAAAATAAATGTGTTGATTATTCAATATCTATATTTAGGCTCTGGAGACGAAATGATTACTATTGTATTCATGTCTTCTGCTGGTGCAGGAGAAGGACTACTCCACACCACGGAGAACTCTGCGCCACATCGCTGCTAATGCACCAATGTTCCTGCCCCACATGACATTCTCTGACCAGTGGGAAAAACTTCTAGAGGCCGAGATTTCCAAAGGTCTCACTGAAAGAGAACTGAAAAGTGGGGTGCTGGACTCTGAGAACAAAGAGACTGAAGTCTCTGCCTCAGAACAGGAGAGAGTGATGTCCGAGTTCAGTGAGAGAAACCCTTCTCCCGGACGACTTCATGTCTCTGCAGAACCTCTGATGGAGCAGATGGAAGTGAAGCAGGAGAAGTGTGACATTCTTTCACTTGGAGAACTCATGATCCAGTTTGATTCCCCTGGTGTCCCCCACGACGAGACTGAAACTCAGCTTAAAACTGAGCAGACCTCGTCTTGTGAACCAGCAAAGAACCAGGAACCAGCTCCTCAGAGCTGCTTGAACCAGGAACCAGCTCCTCAGAGCTGCTTGAACCAGGAACCAGCTGCTCAGAGCTGCTTGAACCAGGAACCAGCTCCTCAGAGCTGCTTGAACCAGGAACCAGCTCCTCAGAGCTGCTAGAACCAGGAACCATCTCCTCAGAGCTGCTTGAACCAGGAACCAGCTCCTCAGAGCTGCTAGAACCAGGAACCAGCTCCTCAGAGCTCTTTGACTAAACCTGGCCCAAAGAAGCGAAGCAAGCAGAAACCAGCCAAGGATCTGCAGGGTGGGCTTGAAGAGCCAAAGACCCCGATCGAAAGCTTTTCCACAAGCGAACCAGGAAACTCTCCCCCGATAGCACCTGTACAGACGAGTTTATCCAACACCGAGACTCAGCAGGTGGAATCCATCAGAAACAACTTACCCTCTGATGAACAAGAAAGGTCTCGTCCCATAAAAATCAGAGATAACTTACCTTCTGATGAACGAGAAAGGTCTCCTCCCATAGCCGTCAGATAAAGCTTACCCTCTGATGCCCCCTTCATGCCTCTGCACCTGATCCCAGACCAGGGCTCGACTGAGATCATGAAGAACCATGAGACCTCCTCTCAGTGGGACACCGTTTACATCTACAATTTAGCGTGGGAGGTTTCCCGACATATTCTCCAGGAAAAACACCTGTCTGTGGAACATCCTCTGGTGAGGAAGCTGTATCAGAAACTAGAGGAACAAATGTGGGAATGGAATGTGAAGGAGAGTCCGAAGCACAACAAAAAAATAGCTTGTGACATTTACAGAGCCCTGTGCTCAAAGAAAAAGAAGAAATGGATTAAGTTTTCTGCACTGGTCATAGAAGAGGAAAGCGACAACATCATCACAGAGATCCACAACCATCTGGTGGCACCAAAGAAGAGAGGCTGTGCTCCTTCTTCCACTCCATCCGCAATGCTCTGTGCAGATACTAAGCTCCACTCACACTTCTGCAGGCCACGTCTGGACACACTTCCATCATCACATTCATTTTGTGGCTAAAGTATCCTCAATACTTTTGCAGCAAAGAAACTGACATCCATGAACTTCTTCTAAAACCTTAAACCTGCTTTTCTCAGCCTCAAACGATCTGGATTTGATTCAGAGAAACAGATGAAGGGTTGATGAAGATGTTAGGATTAGATTTTTCTTTTTCTTTACTTTTTAGAAAATTCTGCCCTTTTCAGCCAAAGGTCATAAAGCACTTTACAAGTTTTGGTAAAGTGATGTATGGCATCTTTGGTGAACGTTGAATTCACATAAACATTTAAAACACTTTCGTCAACAGTTCCACGTCTTTGGAAAACGATTCTCCAATGAAGTGGAAACAGACTAAACTGCAGAAGTTTAGGCAAAGAGAGACTTAAGCATTACTAAATAAAGACAAAAACATTATAATTGTACTGTGTGGACATCTTTTTATATTGTAACATAAATGGTAGAGTTGGGCAGGAGGCACCAGGAGATGGAGGGGTTCAGTGTCTTACCCAAGGACCCAACGACAGCAGTGGTAGTGGAATAGAGAAGGTAGTGGAGTGGGTGGAGAAGGTTTCATGGTTCGAACCCACAACCTTCAGGCTCAAAGGCCAACGCTCTACCAACTGAGCCACCGTAGCACCCACATTTTGCCTGGTCCCACCCATACAAATAATACAGGATTTGTGTTTTGTTACCAGAGACTGTCCCGTCCATACCTCGGCCATGCGCTGGTCCTCCTCCATGGGCACAAACTTGTCACACAGGCCGTGCACCAGCAGGATGGGCGAGGTGAGCTCGGCGTGGTACACCTCGTCCCCCTCGGGCCAGTACTGCCCGCTCATCATGGCCCTCAGCACGAACGGAGACACGTTGAAGGCGTTCCCCTGCTTCAGCAACTGCTTCTCTTTGGCGCCTTGTCGAGCAAAGCCAGCCCTGCAGGAGCGGAGAGAGAAACTGTTTGAATATATAACTAAAAACAGAGTGGTCCCGGGTTTATCACAGGGGTTATGTGTTCTAAAAAAAAAAAAACCTTAATGAAATCCTTGAAGTCGAAGCGCTATGTTTTAAGGCTGGAAAACAGACTTCATCTACTTTTCTAACCACCTGAACCCATGTCTGCTGAAGTGTGAGAGACCAGAGAGAGAGACCAGAGAGAGACCAGAGAGAGAGAGAGACTAGAGAGAGACTAGAGAGAGAGACTAGAGAGAGATCAGAGAGAGAGACCAGAGAGAGAGAGAGAGACTAGAGAGAGAGAATAGAGAGAGATCAGAGAGAGAGACCTGAGAGAGAGAGACTAGAGAGAGACCAGAAAGAGAGGCCAGAGAGAGACCAGAGAGAGAGACTAGAGAGAGACCAGAGAGAGAGACTAGAGAGAGACCAGAGAGAGAGAGACTAGAGAGAGACTAGAGAGAGACTAGAGAGAGAGACCAGAGAGAGAGACTAGAGAGAGACCAGAGAGAGACCAGAGAGAGAGGCCAGAGAGAGAGACTAGAGAGAGAGACCAGAGAGAGACCAGAGAGAGAGACTAGAGAGAGACCAGAGAGAGAGGCCAGAGAGAGACCAGAGAGAGAGACTAGAGAGAGACCAGAGAGAGAGGCCAGAGAGAGAGACTAGAGAGAGACCAGAGAGAGACACTAGAGAGAGACCAGAGAGAGAGACCAGAGAGAGACCAGAGAGAGAGACCAGAGAGAGACCAGAGAGAGAGACTAGAGAGAGACCAGAGAGAGAGACCAGAGAGAGAGAGACTAGAGAGAGACCAGAGAGAGAGACTAGAGAGAGACCAGAGAGAGAGACCAGAGAGAGAGACTAGAGAGAGACCAGAGAAAGACCAAAACAGTGTGTGTCGTACTTGAGGAAGCTCCAGGCCAAGCAGGGCGAGAGGCAGTGCAGGACACAGGACGGCAGCTGGAAGATGGAGCAGAGAGAGGGCTCCAGGGCAGTGGGACCTCCTCCGTTTATCATCACCACCTTATGGACCAGATCCGGGTACTCGTGAGCCAGGAAGGTGCAGAAGGACACTCTGAGAACACAATATAAGAGCAAGGGTCAGGACTGAGCCTAGATAATTATAAAAATATTTATATAGTAATAATAATAATGATAGTAATATACACTTAACAAGGCTCTTAAGAGGACGATACAACCGGACTCCGACCTCAGTATACATACAGACCACTCTAGTCTCAGTATACATGCAGACCTCTCTAGTCTCAGTATACATGCAGACCTCTCTAGTCTCAGTATACATACAGACCACTCTAGTCTCAGTATACATACAGACCACTCTAGTCTCAGTATACATGCAGACCTCTCTAGTCTCAGTATACATACAGACCACTCTAGTCTCAGTATACATGCAGACCTCTCTAGTCTCAGTATACATACAGACCTCTCTAGTCTCAGTATACATGCAGACCTCTCTAGTCTCAGTATACATGCAGACCTCTCTAGTCTCAGTATACATGCAGACCTCTCTAGTCTCAGTATACATACAGACCTCTCTAGTCTCAGTATACATGCAGACCTCTCTAGTCTCAGTATACATACAGACCTCTCTAGTCTCAGTATACATGCAGACCTCTCTAGTCTCAGTATACATACAGACCTCTTTAGTCTCAGTATACATACAGACCTCTCTAGTCTCAGTATACATACAGACCTCTCTAGTCTCAGTATACATACAGACCTCTCTAGTCTCAGTATACATACAGACCTCTCTAGTCTCAGTATACATGCAGACCTCTCTAGTCTCAGTATACATGCAGACCTCTCTAGTCTCAGTATACATACAGACCTCTCTAGTCTCAGTATACATACAGACCACTCTAGTCTCAGTATACATGCAGACCTCTCTAGTCTCAGTATACATACAGACCTCTCTAGTCTCAGTATACATGCAGACCTCTCTAGTCTCAGTATACATACAGACCTCTCTAGTCTCAGTATACATGCAGACCTCTCTAGTCTCAGTATACATGCAGACCTCTATAGTCTCAGTATACATGCAGACCTCTCTAGTCTCAGTATACATACAGACCTCTCTAGTCTCAGTATACATACAGACCACTCTAGTCTCAGTATACATGCAGACCTCTCTAGTCTCAGTATACATACAGACCTCTCTAGTCTCAGTATACATGCAGACCTCTCTAGTCTCAGTATACATACAGACCTCTCTAGTCTCAGTATACATGCAGACCTCTCTAGTCTCAGTATACATGCAGACCTCTCTTGTCTCAGTATACATGCAGACCTCTCTAGTCTCAGTATACATACAGACCTCTCTTGTCTCAGTATACATGCAGACCTCTCTAGTCTCAGTATACATACAGACCTCTCTAGTCTCAGTATACATGCAGACCTCTCTAGTCTCAGTATACATGCAGACCACTCTAGTCTCAGTATACATGCAGACCTCTCTTGTCTCAGTATACATGCAGACCTCTCTAGTCTCAGTATACATACAGACCACTCTAGTCTCAGTATACATGCAGACCTCTCTAGTCTCAGTATACATACAGACCTCTCTAGTCTCAGTATACATACAGACCTCTCTAGTCTCAGTATACATGCAGACCTCTCTAGTCTCAGTATACATACAGACCTCTCTAGTCTCAGTATACATGCAGACCTCTCTAGTCTCAGTATACATACAGACCACTCTTGTCTCAGTATACATGCAGACCTCTCTAGTCTCAGTATACATACAGACCTCTCTTGTCTCAGTATACATGCAGACCTCTCTAGTCTCAGTATACATACAGACCTCTCTAGTCTCAGTATACATGCAGACCTCTCTAGTCTCAGTATACATGCAGACCACTCTAGTCTCAGTATACATGCAGACCTCTCTTGTCTCAGTATACATGCAGACCTCTCTTGTCTCAGTATACATACAGACCTCTCTAGTCTCAGTATACATGCAGACCTCTCTAGTCTCAGTATACATACAGACCTCTCTAGTCTCAGTATACATACAGACCTCTGTCTCAGTATACATGCAGACCTCTCTAGTCTCAGTATACATGCAGACCTCTCTAGTCTCAGTATACATGCAGACCTCTCTAGTCTCAGTATACATACAGACCACTCTAGTCTCAGTATACATGCAGACCTCTCTAGTCTCAGTATACATACAGACCTCTCTAGTCTCAGTATACATACAGACCTCTCTAGTCTCAGTATACATGCAGACCTCTCTTGTCTCAGTATACATGCAGACCTCTCTTGTCTCAGTATACATGCAGACCTCTCTTGTCTCAGTATACATACAGACCACTCTAGTCTCAGTATACATACAGACCTCTCTAGTCTCAGTATACATGCAGACCTCTCTAGTCTCAGTATACATACAGACCTCTCTAGTCTCAGTATACATACAGACCACTCTAGTCTCAGTATAACATACAGACCACTCTAGTCTCAGTATACATGCAGACCTCTCTAGTCTCAGTATACATGCAGACCTCTCTAGTCTCAGTATACATACAGACCACTCTAGTCTCAGTATACATACAGACCTCTCTTGTCTCAGTATACATGCAGACCTCTCTTGTCTCAGTATACATGCAGACCTCTCTTGTCTCAGTATACATACAGACCTCTGTCTCAGTATACATACAGACCACTCTAGTCTCAGTATACATGCAGACCTCTCTTGTCTCAGTATACATACAGACCTCTGTCTCAGTATACATGCAGACCTCTCTTGTCTCAGTATACATACAGACCTCTCTAGTCTCAGTATACATACAGACCTCTCTAGTCTCAGTATACATGCAGACCTCTCTAGTCTCAGTATACATGCAGACCTCTCTAGTCTCAGTATACATACAGACCTCTCTAGTCTCAGTATACATACAGACCTCTCTAGTCTCAGTATACATGCAGACCTCTCTAGTCTCAGTATACATACAGACCTCTCTAGTCTCAGTATACATGCAGACTCAGACCTCTCTAGTCTCAGTATACATACAGACCTCTCTAGTCTCAGTATACATACAGACCACTCTAGTCTCAGTATACATACAGACCTCTCTAGTCTCAGTATACATGCAGACTCAGACCTCTCTAGTCTCAGTATACATACAGACCTCTCTAGTCTCAGTATACATACAGACCTCTCTAGTCTCAGTATACATACAGACCTCTCTTGTCTCAGTATACATGCAGACCTCTCTAGTCTCAGTATACATACAGACCTCTCTTGTCTCAGTATACATACAGACCTCTCTTGTCTCAGTATACATACAGACCTCTCTTGTCTCAGTATACATACAGACCTCTCTTGTCTCAGTATACATACAGACCACTCTAGTCTCAGTATACATACAGACCTCTCTTGTCTCAGTATACATACAGACCTCTCTAGTCTCAGTATACATGCAGACCTCTCTAGTCTCAGTATACATACAGACCTCTGTCTCAGTATACATACAGACCTCTCTAGTCTCAGTATACATACAGACCTCTCTAGTCTCAGTATACATACAGACCTCTCTAGTCTCAGTATACATGCAGACCTCTCTAGTCTCAGTATACATGCAGACCTCTCTAGTCTCAGTATACATACAGACCTCTCTAGTCTCAGTATACATGCAGACCTCTCTAGTCTCAGTATACATGCAGACCTCTCTAGTCTCAGTATACATACAGACCTCTCTAGTCTCAGTATACATACAGACCTCTCTAGTCTCAGTATACATACAGACCTCTCTAGTCTCAGTATACATACAGACCTCTCTAGTCTCAGTATACATACAGACCTCTCTAGTCTCAGTATAGATTCAGAGTCAGACCTCTCTGTAAATAAAACTTCTTTCATATTGCTTCCTGCAGCACAAACATAGGCACATTTATTTCCGGTGAAGTTTACTTGTGTCAGTTCCGATTACCCACATTATCTTATAGTGGCCTGTTTCCTGAGCTCTTAGATGCATCTGCTTGCCTTGTCTCAGTAGTATTTGTGGTGACATGAGACAAACATTAGAATACTGTCGAGTTTCACTGGACTGAGACACGTACAATAGACGAGGCCTAAGTTTATACAAGCTTTGAATCGATTCATATTGGCTTAAGTCAGAGATCCGATACGCTCTCCTCTAATGCCAGTGCAGAGTCAGGGCTGTCCTTGGCTTCTCCCTGTGCAGGTGCAGCATGAGGCAGCAGCACAGACGCCACTGGGACATCCTGCACGTGGATGTGAACGTGACGCAGTCGAGTGGAGACTAAAGCACAATAGAGCTGAGGGGAAGCCGGGACAATATTCAATTACACCGTCATCTCCAGATAGATGCAGGAGGGTCCCAGGACAGCGGTGATGATCCAGGACCCTCCATATGCAACCACATTTACGGACATTGTTCTCTGTCTCTTATGGACCAACGGCTCTATGTGCTTTTTATCCTTGCATTTTTTGTGTTTAAACTGTTGATTGGATGTTTCTCTGATATGTGTTGGGGAATTTAAGAGTTTTATAAAGTCCTCTGAGATAATTAATTGAATTTATTTTAAACATTTACGTCTCAAAAGAGCTCTTCATAGTTACATCCTCTTTGTGTAAACTGTTGACTCCAATTTGTCCATCAATACTGTATTTCTAAAGAACAAATGTTTTCTTCTCAAGATGTATTTCAATTACAATTTGTGTTTGTCTCAACGGAAAGTTTGTTGAGCAAATGAACAAAAAAAGACTACACCATGCTGTCATCCTCTTATTAGAAAACATATTTTGCATATTTGTAAGAGCCCTCTAAATCATAATAATTGTTTCTGAGAGATAACTGGTTGAGTGAACGGGGTTTGATGGATTACATCAGGGGTGTCCAAACATTTCTCACCAAACTAGTCCAGGGGCCGACATCACAGACTAAAAAAACTGTCTTGACTGGCATCGGGCTGTTCTGAGCTTTAAGATGATCTATAACAGAGCTGAAGTTGGCTGAATGACACATGTTTTCCATCTCACTAGCTACAGTGGCACCATTAACAAAAGTCTGTGACACAATCATAAACAATATCAGTACAGTTTCTACCAAATGAAGAACAAGGTTTAGAACGAGGTCTATATTGACTGAGCTGGAGTTGGATGGATGACACATGTTTATGATCTCAAAGTCATCTATGGGTTAGCAAGGCAGAGGACCACATAAAATGACACTGAGGGCCGCAATGAACACACTCACCCGTACGAATGCCCGATGAGGATGTTGCGTTTTCGGGCGTATCTCTTGAAGATCGCCCTGAGGTCCTCCGCCAGCGCGTAGAAGGTGTAGGCGGCTGCGATCTGCGGCGCTCGGCTGGCCCCATGTCCCGCCAGGTCCGGGGCCACCACTTCGTAGCCCAACCGCGAGAAGAAGTCCAGCTGGCTCTTCCAAATGTCCGAGGACCCTCCCACCCCGTGCACGAAAAACAGCGCCACGTCTGAGTGCGTCCCCTTGCAGCTGGAGATGGTCCTGCGCGAGTCGATGGAGACGGTGCGTTTGGGTTTGCGCCTGCGCCTCCTGGGTGGTGCCGCGGGTTTGGACTCGCCGGTGACTTGAGGCGGGGCGGGGTTAGGGTCCGGAGACGAGGGCATTTCTTTGTAGTCGGCTAGCTCCACCTCCACCGTGCTGCAGGGTTCCAGGTCTCCGTCTTGGCATTGAAGGATCTCCGAGTGCAGGACGTCGCCCAGGTTCTCGATGACGAGCTGGCCGTCGCGGTACACGGTGATTTTCCGCTTGCAGTGGACAGAGCGGTCGTCGTCTTTGGAGTCGGTGGGTTTGGATTCGCTCTTGTCGTCGGGGGATACCGGGTGGCGTTCCGGGACGATGTGGCGGACTCGTAAGACTCGGCCTGGTTTGACTTCCACAAATTCGTAGCTGGAACGAAACAAAGGTTTGATATGTTATCACCGATACATCATAGCTGAAATAAAGGTTAGATAACAATCGGAAAACCTTTGATTGTGCTTTACTTTAATTAGTGTAACAAAAATGAGAAAAATGAGAGCCATTTTGGACAAATTTTTGCTATGGGCTTCTCTTTCCAGTGGTTTTTTTCCAGTTTTTGTATTTTCACTAGTGAAAAAGTACAAATACAATACAAAGATCGGATATGGTGGACATTTGTGTGTGTAAATTTGTGAGTAAGCAGCCCCTAAATCTTGTTATTGTTTTCATTTCGATGTCCCACCCTCCACCGTTTCAGAAAGTCTGTGATCCGGGCGCCAGAACTCACCGCGTAGAGCTAATCTCACTGGTAAAGTACCATGTGGCGCAGAACTACAAAAGGTCTCGTTATAATTCTCAAATCATTAACGACAAAACAAGGAATAAAACCAGGATTTCTATCTTTGTGAAAAAGGTGTTGGTTATAGATTTGTTGTTGACAAAACTCTTGTCTATTCAGCTGTTATGGTCCCAGCTGGATTCGTCTGCATATCTGGCAACCTGAGTCAGGGAGAGTGGGAGAGGCTGCAGTACCACTTTTGGCCACATGTGTACATACTGCTCCTTTAAGTGTAAGTAAGTAATCTTTAGTAAGTAATCTTTATTTATATACCGCCTTTTCACTGCAGATCTGAGTCTCAAAGCGGTTTCCAATTTATTTATTTATTGGCATTTGTCTCTCACTCCACACAGAGATGGGAGGGGCCAGTACAGGAGGCGCATGCCAGAACTATTGTACATATTTTTAGTGGTAGGGGAAACCGGAGTACCCGGAGGAAACCTACGCAGACACGGGGAGAACATGCAAACTCCACTCAGAAAGGCCCTGGTCCGACCGGGATTCGAACCGAGGACCTTCTTGCTGAGAGGCGAGAGTGCAAGTGTAACATTTTGCCGGGATGTCAACAGATGTCGTACCCGTCTGAAGGTTGGGAGGACTCCAGCGGCAGAACCAGGCCCTCACTCTTCCCGGTCAAACAGCACAGGATGCTCTCGGTGATGCTGGTCAACATTCTGCTCCTCTGCAACACAAACACAGCTGTGAGACAAGCAGGACACACAAACAAACACGCACCCCTACACAAAAACACACAGTATAACCTACCTGACCCAATCTTAACAATGAAAAAAATATATTTTGGCATAAAATCATTTTATAAAATACTTTGATCAATAACATAAATTATATTGATAGAGGGAAACTTGATCTGACTTGAATCTCAAAGTAAATATCAAAACAAGATTTGGAGCAAGATTTTTCTCCAAATCTAAATTTTTCATGTAGAAATAAAAACCATATTCATGCAGGTCGAATCTGGAATCCATCCATTTTCTTCCCCTTAATCCATTTCTGGGTTGGGGGGGGGGTGGTAGTCAGAGATACACCCAGTACACAGAGCACCAGCCCCTCACTGATCCTCCTGCAGGAGCTGACATCTTTCAGTGGGGGCTTCAGGCAAAGTGGGGTTAAGTGTCTTGCCCAAGGACACAACAACAGCAGTCCTCCGTGGGAGTCGTGAAGTAGGTCTTGTGGTGAGCTCGAACCCACAACCTTCAGACCCAGAGGCCAATGCTCTACCACCTGACCAAATGTGAGACAGGCTTCCTGAAAATGTGAGACAGGCGTCTTCTCTGACAATGTTCAAATCCAGGTTACACAACTGAGGGATTTCTCATTCACATTCTCATTAATGTGCTGTGATTATTTTATGCCTGGTATTGTTTCTATCTGGGTTTGTTCAGCACTTTGTAGTTGCCTTGTGTGTGACTTGTGCTATACAGATAAACTTCCCTTTGCCTGGATTGGGATGGAGGGATGTGAGTGGATTTCTACTGAGTTACAACATCATCTTTCAGCCCTATTCCCCGGGGCGCCCTCTAACACCGGTCTTTCATAACCATTTCAAAGACACATTAAAATATAATATTGCGACATGCCAGGTCTCGGCAGGAAACCGTCTCTTCATGGTGCCTTCAGTTACCTAGCAACGCCTCACATGGTGTTTTCCCTTCCTCCGTCAGGCTAAGTGGAGCGCGAACATTAGTCACAGTCTTTGGGGAACACACATGCACTCCGCAATATTAGCAAAAACATGTCACCGGTGGGAAAGACAAGGCTGGTTTGATAACACGATAGGCTGCATCCAAATTCACAAACAAAATCTCCGTATCCTTCCTATGTCTCCTCTCTGCTCAAGCTGTGAGTTTGGGAAGATGGAGGTGTATTGATAGATTTGCAGTGGTGCCATACACCTTCCATTCCCAGATGATTCTTTAACAGCAAAAAACATGTCACTGATGGGAAAGACAAGGCTGGTTTGACAACAAAGGCTGCATCCAAATTCACAAACAAAATCTCCTTTTCCTCCTTCTGTCTCCTCTCTGACCAGTGTTCTTTGTTCGAGCTGTGAGTTTGGGAAGATGTTGAGGTCCGTGTATTGGTAGATTTGCAGTGGTGCCATACTCTTTCCATTGTGAGTCCTTCGTGATGCTTTTTAGTGTCCAATATTCTCTCACACTGAGATTAGATTACTGTCAGGAGGACTCTAGGTCGGCATTTAATTATAACAAAAACTTTCAAAAAAGGTATTGGTTGCACTCAGAGAAACGGGGACTGATACAAGCCATACAAAAAAACAAAAAACAAACGTATTACATGCAGTTGAGATGCATTTAGGATAAAGTCCATGTTTTTATCTTGCCGATTCTGCCTATAATTATTTTGAATTAGTCCAATGAGATATTTTTGACACAAGTTTGAAAACAATTTGTCTTATTTCAAGAACTGCATTATTTTTTTATTGAGCTTTATTTTCTCTTTCCAATGGAGACTTCTCTTGCATCTTTTTAAATCAAGAAAATGTTGCTTTGTCCAAATGGAAATCTTGCTTTAAAGGTGTATAGGAGGATTTTCTACTTCCGGGTGGTTCATCAAGACTATTGGTCCTACTAACTGTCAATCATTCTGGTGACACGTGCTCGTCCAATCAGACCAAAGAGTTTTCAAAAAAAGTGGATAGGGCGGTTCTTGTGAAAATCCTCCAATATACTTTTGAGGCAGTCAGATTATCAAATTAAGATCCTTTTTTGGCAAATTGTAGACATTTTTGACTTATTTGCAGTGTTGCTGTTTACCCTCTTGTTTGTAGTGCTTTTTTGATACTATTTAATACGTTTCTTTTCTTGTCTTGTGTTTTAATATCGTTTAGGTAATTTGAAACATGTAAAAACCAAGATTCACAACAGCAACTCTATTCCAAACCTTTCTATCCGTCTGTTACTGCGCCACGTCCATACTCTGTTTATCCCCTGTTACGCTGTCGTCTTCTAACAGATATTATTTCTATCAAGAGGAAGCAGAGGAGGAAGAGGCTGTTGCTAGGAGACAGGACCACGGCAACAGCCTATGGACCAGAGACGATCTCGTTCATTTTTGGCTGTTTTCCATTAACCTACATGTGGAGCGCGCTGAGTAAACAGGTTCACTCTGGCCGCAGGAGCGCAGGGCTAGCATACGGTTATTAATATTTCAGCCATGTTTTTGCTCATAATAAATGCATGATCCAAAGAGAGCAGCTGCAGCCACAACGTCAACAAGAAGTGAAGCAGGAGTCGTTCAGCTCATAGTGGCTCCATCGTTTTGTTTTGTTCATTATTAAAAAGGTTTAGATCAAAACTATGGCCCGCAAGCTAATTTCAATTCAAGCCAATGTGTTTTTCTATTGCCCTGAATCACAACAGTAGGGACTGTACTGGAGGGTTTTGCAAAGCTGTTGATTCGCCGACACAGATAAAAAAAAAAAAAAAAACACATAGAGACATTGGTCCATAAATGTTTCCTCTGTAAATTAGCTTTGGCTATATGTGTTGTAGCGTTTAACTTGTTGATTGTGTACACCCTAACCTAAAAAAAATAAAAAATAATAATGTTTAGAACCCTTAAAAATCCATTAGCTATTAGCCGAATGCTAAGTATAGGGCCGGTGGAAATGGGGCTATACTGTAGATCCAATACTCCTGTCGACTTCCTTAAAACCACCTCTAGCATGTCACATTATATAATACATATACAGTACATATTAGTATATTGTATCATAGTCAACTGAACCCAAATTCAGACCAAGATTTTTTTTGTGTGTAAGGTTTTTAAAACAATAAATAATGACAACCAACTCAGCAGTGCCAACATGTAAACAAACATACAACTATTTATCTTTTAGAATAAGTATTAGCAGTAGTATTAAAGCTGGGGTACCTCACTTTCAAAACATAAAACATTGAAAAATAATAGTCCATAAAAGTAGTTTGTGACACTAAAAACTTCTCAGACAGTACAGAGAAAAAGACAGGACCACCCTCTCTTGGCCAATCAGCTCTCAGCCAATCAGCTCTCAGCCTATCAGTTCTGCCCACAGTGTTTAACAGTGACTAACAAGGCCCAAACATGCAAAAGACACACATTTTATATTAGGATGAAGCAGGTTGTGGCCCGAGTTCTTTCACTCTTTCTCTAAACATGTGTTATATATGTAAAAACAAAAGTTATATACCCAGCATTAAACTGTATGGATCTAGACTTTGCCCCACAGCAGGGGTTCTCCAAACTTTTCTATTTTTCTCTGGACAAAAGAAGCAGAGAGCTACAACTTTTAGACAGTCCACATAATGTTGAGCTAAAATGGATTAAGTATATATTTTTTTTACTTGAGTTGAAAGCATTTCTTAAAACAATGGAACCCCAGCTTTCATGGCCAAATCTTGTTTTAAGACCTTCAAAATGTTCTCTTAATAATGCATGCAAATGTGGATAATTTCAATCTTTTTGTGGTTGTTGTTGTTCAGTGTTATACCCATAAAACCAAACCATCAGGACATTACACAATACGGCCCGTAGTTAACAGAAAATATACAAAACATACAGTATATTACAACATATTGAAATAGAAATATGTACATAAAATAATTTAGTGCAAAAAGTAGACATTGTTTTAATTTACTTTGTACTTTGAAGAGGGTGGCGACCTACTGGTTGCTCTTGAGACCCATGTTACAGTATTAGTAAACATCAAACCTCAATGACACATCTATTCGCAATCTTCACGCCGACACGTCCCCAAACCTGTGCCAAATTACGCACCCTTTTACGCATCTCGCCTCGGCGAGACTCGTTTAGCGGTCACTCGGTCATCCTCCAGCCCTCCCCTGCTCCACTGCGGGAGGAGATGTGGGTTGTTATGTCTGTGCCAAGTCTCCCACAATATACCACCACCAAACTATTGTACACTGTGTGCTGGAGTGAACCGTGGTATATACAAAGCTGTCCTTTTGACTTCTGTAGCTTCCACAGGCAGCGCTGACCCCCATCCATCAGTGCCAATTGACGCCAATGACACGTACTTTGCGCATTTGGTGTTTTTGGAGCCGAGACAAGGGCATTGGGATGAACTCCAACGCGACAAATTGCGCACGTCTGTCTGTTTTTGCATTGCGCACAAGGATAACACCAAGAATCTTAACATTACAGGTGTATGTTATTGCAGAATGGATCATTGCAAGTGTAAACACAAACATTTATCTGCATCTAAACCAAAACAAATGCATATTTTTTTGCATGAGCGCGCGTGTACTTTGCATAAAAAATAAAAAGCCGTGCGTAAAAAGCGAAAATGATTTGGCCGTTGCTTACCTGTGTTGTTGGCGTAGTCTGCAGAAGAATGACTCCAAATAAACTAAACAGAACGCGTTGAAACTACCACGGAGCCATCACTCGCCTCAAAGGACTGTTGCAGGACTGTACTGTGCACGCGCTGCGTTCGCTTGTTTTGGCCCATATTTTTTCGGGAGGAATAACAAGATATGTCAGAGATCTGCATCCACTGCGCACCAGCACCAGCCCAACCCATCCAGCCACCGGGGGCCTGCGCCGCTCTGGATCCGCTGCAGAGACGGCTCTCCTCGGGCGGGGCGAGGAGAGAGGAGAGAGAGGAGAGAGAGGGGGGTGATGTTGGAAGAGAAGCCGCCAATGACAGCGCGAACCCGGCTTGTTGCTAAGGCTGCAGCCGCGGATGGGGAGGCCGTGTGGAAGTGCGAGTCAGCGGTTGTGATGAATGTGGTGTTCTGGAAAAGGCCAGGGGTTTGTTATGGCTGCTGCGGCTGCTACACAAAGACAGTATGATAATAACCACTATAACTCACACAGGGCAATCAATATGACGGCTTTTCGTTTTGGAACTGCATTGACTCATGTACATGCTGGATTTCCCCTACTTTGTGACTGTCCCTGTTTATGTATGTGGGTTATTTTTATTTCAGAAAAGTTTGTTCCATTGATTTGAATGGGAGCGTCAAAATGACTGCTCTGGGCGTGTTAATTGAACTAGATGTCACATATATGTTCTTGTTTCTATTCTGCTTTAACTTGTTTGCACTGAGAGCCAAAGCATTTTCCCAGTTGGTGACTTCCTGTTACTCACATGCGGCAATAAGAAGGATTTTGATTCTGATGTCACTTAGATTCGGTACCTTATCTTCAAACCGAAAAATGGAAAAAAAACCTGGTTCAATCACTATAGTTTTCGCATTCATGTTTTTCACCCTTAAATGGTTTTCCCAATCATGTAGTGGATCACCTTTTGAGTCTCTATATCGACTTGAAGCGTGTTTGGATCTAAAGTCTCCCTCTTTTCTCCCTCACTTTTAGGCACTTTCACTATCAAACTGGATCTCAACCATTTGTTAAAGGCCTATTATTAAAACAGCACGATCTAGGCGTTCAAATGAATTGTGTTTTCAGTGTCCTACATCTTAGAGTGTTTTCTTCAAGGAGTGAACATTAAAGGGTAAAGGCCTCAGTCGCAGAAAGATGGAAAACAGAGGACCACCCTGCTCTCAGCCAATCAGCTCTCAGCCCATACCCATACAGTCAAACAGTGACTGAGAAAGAGCCCTGTGTGCCCTAAAGATATAGATTTATGTTGACTTTTTGCTGTTATGACGCACTTTCAGCTACTTGTATTGTAAATGTAGTGTGCTCTTTACTGTCCAGGACGAATCAGAATCATTTTTTTTCCCTTTAATGAATTCCTCGACCATTTTGTTAGATCACATTTTGATTCTCTATCTCGACTTGAAGCTTGGAACTGAAATCTCACTTGGTTTTAGGCACTTCTACATCAAACTGCATCTCAACCATTTTGTTAAGGCCTGTAATAAACGCAATGGGGTTAAAAAACAAAACTAAAAAACATCCCAATATCCTAAATCCAAAACAGAGTGAATGGGTTATTGCTATGTAAGTAACAGGAGGTCACAGACTATAGGGAATTGCTTTGTCTCTCGGGGCAACAGTCAAAGAAGAGAGGTAGAGAACAGAGTAAAGGCATTATACAAATCAGCGTAAACTTCTAAGGTATAAAAATTACAATTTACTAAATACAATAAAGGGTTCTCTGATCTTCCTCCTCCCTGTAGCTGCAGTGGTCAGCGGAGTCCTCTGCTGTCCAAGGCCCACGTGTCTGCGTTATATAAAACCTCTTCTCTGCCAAAACGCACATCTCAGCAAAAAACCGCATTGATTGATGAAGTTTCGGCCTCTCTCCTACTTCTATAGGACTCTCCCTCTTATGTAAGATCAGAAAAGGTACAAACGATTACTCTATGGGGATTACATTTCTTGCGTTTTATCAGGTGAAAAATAAACATGGTCCATCACTTTATAGAATGATCTGTAAAGAATTAAGTCTGTTTTGTGTTTTGAGTTCAATTCACATTCAAAAGCACAAGAGGAGTGCTGTAAACCCTAACTTCAATCCTACTTCAGATATCAAAGTTATTTTAAATAGATTTTTCCCAGTAAGTAGATATTACTCATTTATTGCTAGTTTATTTAAAGCTTGCCTATGTCACTCAGGGTTTTCTTTGAATTGAACTCTTTCTGTTCAAGTAAGCCTCACTTTTGACATTTTGATGTGTAGAGTCTTTAATGAGCCAGGTGTGACAATGGCAGGGTGTTCTGGTGGCTGAGTGGGTAGCACCATTGCCTCTCAACTACAAGGTTGTTAGTACGAATCCCAGTCGGAACATAAGTACAAATTTAAACTTTATTGCAATCGCTCGAGTTTACTTGGTATTATCAAGTAAAGGATGTACTCGAGTAATTCAAGTGAAGTTAATACGCAATTTATTTCCATGGTTTTTTCAAGTAAACTTTACTTGTCAGGGTTTACAGTGTGACTGGATCAGAACCAGACAGTGCAGGGTTAACGTGAGTGGTCCGGTGATCTTTGAGGATCTGTGGTAAAATAAGAAAGAAAAGAGGAACAGGTCAGAGGCACTCACTTAAAGATGCAGTCAGTGAAGTTTGTCCAGACGCAGTATTGTGGGAAAACGTCCCTAAACCCTAAAAGTATCAAGTAACCATGTGTTTTCAAATAGTAATGGAATTGACCAGATGTCTATAGTCTCCAAAGATGTATACAAATATTTTGGAGCGGACCGATAAAAATAAACCAATGGGATGAGTTTACCGCCTTCACCCTCTTCCTGTTTCTCTCAAGTTTTAGAAAATCGATCAGATTTTCTAAAACCTAAAATGGCTGAACAGAAAATACCAATTTCACGTTTGCTTCACTTTCCCTGTTGGGACAAAGAAAAGATAGTAATTGAAATAAAGGTAAATATCATCCATCTTCTTCCCCTTTATCCATTTCTGGGTCGGGGGGGTGGCAGTCAGAGCTGCACCCAGTCACAGAGCACAGCCCCTCACTGATCCTCCTGCAGGTGCTGAGTCCACACGAGCCTTGATCTTTCAGCAGGGGCTTCAGGCAAAGTGGGGTTAAGTGTCTTGCCCAAGGACACAACAACAGCAGTCATCAGTGGGAGTCGTGAAGTAGGTCTCGTGGGAGGCTTGAACCCATGGCACGGTGGCTGAGTGGATAGCACTCTCGCCTCTCAGCAAGAAGGTCCTGGGTTCGAATCCCGGTTGGACCAGGGCCTTTCTGAGTGGATTTTGCATGTTCTCCCCGTGTCTGCGTAGGTTTCCTTCGGGTGCTCCGGTTTCCCCTACCACTAAAAATATGTACAATAGGTCTTGCATGTGCCTCCTGTACTGGCAAAAATAACAATTGTAAACCGCTTTGAGACTCCAATGTGCAGTGAAAAGGCGGTATATAAATAAAGATTACTACTACTACTACTACTACCTTCAGGCTCAAAGGCCAATGCTCTACCAACTGAGCCCCTGTCGCCCTCAATAATAATAATAAAATATATATTCTTTGTTGTGGAAGGGACACAGCGACGCGTTTCGACCTCTGGGTTTCCATCGAAGCAAGTCACTTTGTTATTATAGATATAACCCTAACCCAAACCAAATATACATGTACAGTACGTGTTTACTCTCAGACACTTCATACAGTTCAGTTGTCCATGTAGTCTTTGTGGATCCAATAATTCATTTCATTTCCATGTATTTTTGTAGAGCCCTGAATCCCCGCAGTCTCTCAGAACTCAACAAAGTGTAATTGTGTTATGTACATCTCACTTCTTTCATTCAGAGACGCCCAGACCTCCCTCTCTCTCTGAAACTCCATTCAACAACAAATATATATATATATAAGTATCTAGGGCTTGTTCACACTAAAGGGCACAAAAGTCTGACAAAAGGCCTCACATTAGATTTTTATGATAAATAAAATATATATTGTTTTTCATGTTTCCAAATCCTCATCGGTCCAGTAGAAGTCGCTAGAACAAAACTGTTTTATACATTAGTCAAGTTATGTACGGTACATATCTTCAGATCCACATTTGATTCAGAGATTATTATTTTTACACAGAGCTCTCACATAATAACAGATTATAAAGTATCAATTCTTCTTCAATGTTTATCGAAATCAAAGTCTCCAACGTTTTTCATACAGAGAGCTACTTTTATACGACAGAAGAGGCAGAGAGCTACTTCTTCTTTGCTGATACAATAAAGAATCCATGTCATAATAACCACACCTGTAAAGTACACTACAATACTGCATCATCCTACACTTATATTTGTTATGTGTTTAATTAAATTCTCAATCCTTTGGGGAGCTCTGTGAAAGGGTGGGATTTCATATGTATTTTTGACTAAAGAAATCACTACACATTCTAAAACATGACCTATCAAAGTACTCAAAAGTACTCAAAAGCTGAGTGGTGTTGGTCTGTGTAGCTCCAGGGCAGATGCATTCATTCTTAAAAGGTCTGGTCTGGGACAGTCCCATCTCGGCCTGGTGCTGACCCCCCCCCACCCCCCCTCTCTCTGTCACGTGACCAGTGTCTGTCTGTGTCACACCACCCCTGTCGTAGTAGTAACTCGGAGGACTTAACAAAACCGTTGAATTCGCCAACACAGATCAGAGAATCGAACAGTTCAAGCACAAGAAATGCACTGATAAAAAACACAGAAGGAGCAGAGGATAAAGTCTGTCAGTGTTTCTGGATGTTGCGTGTCCTGGATCATCACCACTGGCCTTAGAGCCTCCTGCATCGGCAAAGAACAACTCAAAACCCAGTGGAGAAAGAAAGGAAAGAGGAAGGGGTGGTTCTTTCCTAAAATTCTGGGGAAATCCTCTGATAAACCTTTGATAAATGTCTTGAGATCAGAATGGGGTAAGGAGTTTATAAGATTTGTTTTTCTTCATCCTTCATTCTTTTCACGAAGCCTTCTTCATCGACTCCCACTGATGTCTGCTGTCGTTGTGTCCTTGGGCAAGACACTTAACCCACTTTGGCTATGAGGAGCGCGGAAGTGATGTTTGCTGCTTGCCTTGATATGTATATGTATATGTGTGTGTGTGTGTGTGTATATGTGTGTGTGTGTGTGTGTGTGTGTGTATGTGTGTGTGTGTGTGTGTGTATATATATGTGTATGTGTGTGTGTGTATGTGTGTGTGTGTATATGTGTATGTGTGTGTGTATGTGTGTGTGTGTGTATATGTGTGTGTGTATGTGTGTGTGTGTGTGTGTGTGCACTTGTTTTCAACTCCTGGTGGTTTCCATAACCTGAGATTCCACTCACGTCATGGGGACTGGTTTTACGTGGTGGGGCCCGAACACCGGACCCCACTGGTCCAAGCTTAATAATCAATGGGTAATGCTTTTCTAACGGTCCTTATGCAGTCTCTGTAAAAATATGGAAAGGACCCCTGGAGGTTTACTTTCCTGAAAAAAGTGTGTTATGTGTCGGAACCCTGGTGGTGGGTTGCGGGATATCAGGGAGGGGCACACTGGGGCAATTTCAGTCCAGCAGGCTGGAGCCAATCATGGAGCAGTACAACAGAGGAAGTCAGGTGTCAGGCTAGAAAAGGTGCAAGTGTGTGGTTCATTAGGCTGCAAGAAATCATGGAGGAGCACACTGAAGCGCACGCTTACAAACCACTGGTAAGTGCTGACTACAAGTCATGACTTCAAATTGTTATATAGAATTATTACAAATTATTTGTTGTTTGTGCAGCTTAGTCAAGAGTCCCTAATTGATGAAGTCGACTCAGATTCTGACGATTTAACTGTCAAGAAGAAACCTGTAAAAAAGTATGGAAAAAGAAAAATCAAAAACACTTTTCTTCAAGACTCGGAAAGTGACGAACCAAAGGCAAATAAGATTGTTATCATGCAGCTGCAAAAGAAGAAAAATGGGGGGCGAGTTTATAGCAAGAGACACTTCTGCCTCTACTGTTCAATGTCCTGCCACAAAATGTCCCGTCATTTGACTAGAAAACATGGAAATGAAAGTGACGTAGCCAGAGCATTGGCTCTACCTGTGAAATCTAAAGCACGTAAACTTCAGTTTGATTTGATCAGGAATAGTGGAAACCGTGAGCACAATTTTGAGGTTTTAAAGGCCGGCATTGGAACTTTAGTCCCAGCTAAACAGCCAAATTGCCCAGTTAAATCCAGTGAGTTTTTGCACTGTATAGACTGTGGGGCATTGCTTAAGCGAAAGTCGCTGTGGAGGCATGTGGCCAGGTGCCGGCTTTCACAGAAAGATGCCCAGGCTAAACCAGGTAGAAGTAGGGTCCAGTCCCTCTGCTCCCTAGCCCAGCCTGTACCGGAGGGCATCAGCAAAAAGCTGTGGTCTTTAATTTCGGCAATGCATCAGGATGAGGTCACGGGTGTTGTCAAAGCAGAAAAGGGGATTCTGAGACTCGGAGAGCACCTGTACTTAAAACACGGGCATGATAAGACTAAGCATGATTACATTAGGCAGAAAATGAGAGAAGTCGGTAGGTTAATTAACAAAGCAAAAACCGCAGGGAAACTGAAAACAATTAAGGATTTCTTTATTCCTTCCAACTTTAACCATGTGATTGATGCAGTCAGGTCTGTGGCTGGATATGATGAGGAAACAAATCAATACAAGACTCCATCCTTGGCCCTCAAACTCGGCCATAGCCTCAGAAAGCTAGCAGATATTCTTGAATGTGACTCAAAAATGGAGCATTGTGTTGATGAACTATTTATTAAAAACCTCCAACGAAGCCGGCTGCTTTTTGAGAAGAGGTGGGACGTCTGTGTTTCTTCTGCTGCCCTACAGACCCTCCGGCAAGCCAAGTGGAACACTCCGGACCTGCTCCCTCTGACTGAGGACGTTAGAGCCATGCATGCACATATTGAGGTATGTCGACCTGAATATGTGCAAACCCTAATAAGTGAGCCAACGTCTAAGCATTGGTCTAAACTGGCAGTTTTGACTCTTTGTGAGGTCATCATTTTCAATCGAAGAAGGGAAGGTGAGGTTTCAAAGATGCCACTGACAGCCTTTACCTTAAGAAGTAAGACTGGGATCCATTCTGACATTGCTCTGGGACTGTCCCAACTTGAGAAAAAGCTGTGTCAGCATTTTCAACGCATTGAAATTAAAGGGAAAAGAAGTCGGAAAGTGCCGGTTCTTTTGACTCCTGAAATGATTGCTTCGATGGAGGTGCTGGTGGAGAACAGAAGGGCCTGTTCCATCTCTGACCATAACCCATACTTCTTTTCCCGCCCGGGCGCAGACACCCACATCAGGCTCCCTACGCCAGGTAGCCAAAGAATGTGGTGCGGTGCATCCAGAGATGCTATCCTCAACCAAACTTAGAAAGCACATAGCTACTATGTCTACAGTTCTCAATATGAAAGAGAATGAGATGGACATACTTGCCAACTTCCTCGGCCATGACATTCGCATCCACAGGCAATATTACAGACTACCAGAGGGGACACTGGAGCTGGCCAAAATCAGCAAAGTGTTGATGGCCATGGAGCAGGGAAGAGTGACGGAATTCGAAGGAAAGAGCCTCGACCAGATACAAATTGAGCCTGAAGGTAATTCTTGATATTATTAAAATATGTATGATTTTTTTCCCCTAAAGGCCACTTGTATTTTTATTTTCTGTGCGACAGGGAGAGCAGTAGAGATCCTCTCACAAACGGACGGGCTAAAAGAAACTTCAAGCGGAGAACCTTCAACCATTCATCCAGATGCACCCCATGGTAGTGGCAGTGCCCCTTCTGGTAAGTGTACCAGGTGGGGGATTACAGCCAGGCTGCTTGGTCCTAACCCTGGGAGTGTATATTGCTAATATATTTTTATTTCTCTCCCTAGAACGTTAGAGAAAGCCATGGTCTGCATCTGAGGTGAAGGCTGTGGAGAAGACCATGACACCTTTCATACAGACTGGAAAGGTCCCTGGGAAGTCTCACTGCCTGGCCTGCATTAATGCCTCACCAGATGACCTTAGACATCGGACATGGAGTGGCATTAAATTCTATGTCAAAAATAGAATCACTGCAATTCGAAAACAAAATCTAAAATAAAATTCCTTTAAAATAGTTGTTTGGTTTCTATTGACTGTTTTGTATTACTTAAAGTAGTCCCAGTAAAAAAAGTTTATGTCTATGGGTCCCATTCTGAACGGCCCTGTCAAAGGGACCCACCAGGTAACAAAAACGTGTATGTGTGTGTGTGTGTGTGTGTTGTGTGTGTGTGTGTGTGTGTGTGTGTGTGTGTGTGTGTGTGTGTGTGTGTGTCAGTGTGTGTGTGTGCACTTGTTTTCAACTCCTGGTGGGTTCCATAACCTGAGATTCCACTCACGTCATGGGGACTGGTTTTACGTGGTGGGGCCCGAACACCGGACCCCACTGGTCCAAGCTTAATAATCAATGGGTAATGCTTTTCTAACAGTCCTTATGCAGTCTCTGTAAAAATATGGAAAGGACCCCTGGAGGTTTACTTTCCTGAAAAAAGTGTGTTATGTGTCGGAACCCTGGTGGTGGGTTGCGGGATATCAAGGAGGGGCACACTGGGGCAATTTCAGTCCAGCAGGCTGGAGCCAATCATGGAGCAGTACAACAGAGGAAATCAGGTGTCAGGCTAGAAAAAGGTGCAAGTGTGTGGTTCATTAGGCTGCAAGAAATCATGGAGGAGCACACTGAAGCGCACGCTTACAAACCACTGGTAAGTGCTGACTACAAGTCATGACTTCAAATTGTTATATAGAATTATTACAAATTATTTGTTGTTTGTGCAGCTTA